CTCTCATGACAGATGAGAAAATTTCCAGATCTTGGACAAAAACTTTTGCCATTGCAGCAATTCCTTTCGAGCGAATCCGAGAAAATATAACTCATACAAACAAATGTTTCATTTATCGAAATAAAAAACCTCCTAGCAATCTCCTCTTAAACTTTAAAGGCATAATGAACCAAAATAACGATAACACGCGATTGATTATACCACAATTGGTCTAGCAGTAAGGATTTGTGGCATTCACCCACAAGGCCCGGGCTCAACTCCCGCACGCGGAAATATTTGCTTAACAAAAATTTCTAAAAATCAAGAATTCTATTGAAATTTCAATCGAAACTTGTTTATTTCTCTTGATAACACAACAAGGATATCCTGAAGCAGTTATACCTATACAATGACATTTTATCAAGTTTTTACACAAATGGAACTCAACAAATAAAATTGGCTATTTTAAGATCTTCACTCTTCAAAGGCTTGATTCTATCTTTCAAATCATAAATCAAACAACGAAAACTGTTTTTTTTTCTATTAAAACAATATAAACACTTAATAACCTCAAAAGAATCCTAAGAGGTATAAAGCAAAAAAAAATTAAATCGAAATAAAGGATAGCATCCCAGTTGGTCAGGAGATTAGGACTTGTTGCTCTGAATCACATGGTCCGAGTTCGACTCTCATACAGGGAAAAATCAACCGCGGAATTAAAAACTTTTACTAACTTGTGATATTTCTTCGAGCAACGCTTATTTCGCCCCTAGAACAGAAGCTCTCATACCAACTGAGAAAATTTCAAAAACTTGGAAACAATTGTCATTGCAACAATGCCTTTCTATCGAATCCGAGAAAATATAACTCATACAAACAAAGGTTTCCTTTATCGAAACAAAAAACATCCTAACAAACTCCCCTTAAACTTTAAAGGCACAATGACCTAAAATAAGGATTACACACGATTGACTATATCCCAGTTGGTCTAGCGGTAAGGATTTGTGGCTCTCACCCACAAGGCCCGGGTTCGACTCCCGGACTGGGAATTTTTGCGTAACAAAAAACTTTTTGAATTAAGAATTCTATTGAAATTTCAATCGAAACTTATTTATTTCTCTTGATAACACAACAAGGACATCCTGAAGCAGTTATACTTATATTGAGATTTTATCAGGTTTTTACGAAAATGGAACTGAACAAAAAAATGGCTATTTAAGGAGCTTGACGCTTCTAAGTTTGACTCTAACATTCAAATCATAAATCAAACAACGAAAACTGTTTTCTCTATAAAAACAACATAAACACTTATTAACCTCAAATAAATCCTAATTGGTATAAACCAGTCATAAAGTTATTGCCAAATAAAAAATAATACCCCAGTTGGTCAAGAGATTAGGACTTGTGGCTCTTTGACTCTCGTACAGTCTTGGGGTTCGACTCTCGTACAGTGAACGTGCATCGCGGAATTAAAAACACATATTAACTGGTAATATTTCTACGAGAAAAGTCTATTCCGTCCCTAGAACAGAAACTCTCACACCAACTGAGAAAATTTCCAAATCTTGGACGTAAACTATTGCCACTGCAACAATGACTTCAAATCGAATCCGAGAAAAAATAACTCACTTAAAAAATGTTTCCTATATCGAAAATAAAAACCTCCAAACAATCTCCCCTTAAACCTAAGGTATAATGAAGTAAAATAATGATTACATACGATTGACTATATCCCAGTTCGTCTAGCGGCTAGGTATTTGTGAATTCCACCCACAAGGCCCGGGTTCGACTCCAGGACTGGGAAATTTTTGCGTAACAAAAAACCCGATAAAATAAGAGTTCTATTGAAACTTCAATCGAAACTTTTTCATTTCTCTTGATAACACAACAACGATAATCTGAAGCAGTTATACTTATACAATGACATTTTATCAGGTTTTTACAAAAAAAATGGAACTCAACAAATAAAATCGGCTATTTTAGGATCTTCACGCTTCAAAGGCTTGATTCTAACATTCAAATCATAAATTAGAGAACGAAAACTGTTTTCTCCATTACAACAACTTAAACACTTATTAACCTTAAATAAATACTAAAAGGTATAATGCTACAAAAAAGTCATTGCAAAAAAAAAGAATCATATCCCAGTTGGTCCAGAGATTGGGACTTATGGCTCTCAACCACTTGATCCGGGTTCGACTCTCGTACAGGGAAAGTGCAATCACCGAAATAAAAATGAATATCAACTGGTAATATTTCTACTGGCAAAGTTTATTTCGTCCCTAGAACAAACTCTCATATCAACTGAGAAAACTTCCAAAACTTGGACGTAAAACATTTCCATTGCAACAACGACTTTACATCGAATCCAAGAAATAATTAGCAGTTAATAAGCTAATTACCAGCTCGAGACGACAACTTACTATGAAGCTAAAATTAAACATCCTGTAGCAGCAAAGGAAAACAAAAACAATAGTTTTTTCTCAAACGAATAAGCGGTTAGTTCTTGTGGCACTTCAGTTTCTTCTTGAACCAGCGAGTAAAACTTTGCGGAAAAAAGCGTTCCGCTGAAACTTCAATCAGAACTTAGTTTTCCTCTAGACTATAGCACATCAATCTATCGATTCAATCATCGATTCCCAAAAAGCAAAATTGAATAACAAATGAAAAAAACTCAAACTGCAATTTTTAAAATCTTAAAACCTCAAATATTCGACTAAGCATAATGTTCACGTTATAACTCATCCTAATAGCTGCTTTCTTTATCGAAAAAAAAACAAGCTCCTAAAATTTAAGCACAACCATTAGGCACACTTTAATCATAATAAACAAACCAGTCCGCAGTTTTTAAAGTTGCAAAACCTCAAACATATGATTACGCTCAACGTTCACATTATAACTCATACCAAAAAATGCTTGCTGTTTCGAATTTGAAACACATTCTATTAGTCTACGGTTAACCTTTAAAAGCATAAGGAATTAAAACACTGATAGGATGGCTATCATCTACAAGGCTAGAGTTCGACACTCGCACTGGGAAATTACTGCGAATCAAAGAAATTATATGCATAACATTCACATTATAACTAATGCGAAAAATTGTTCCCTTTATCGAACTAAAAACAACAACTAACAACCTCCAATTAATCTTTAAAGTCATAAAGAACTAAAAAAATGATTTCATATCTTAGCCTATATCAAAGTTGGTCTAGTGGTTAGGATTTGTGACTTTCACCCACAAGACCAGGTTTCAACTACCGGACTGAGAAAGTGCAATAAGGAAATAAGAAAACAGAAAATTAGTAATAATTCTACCCGCAAAAAAAAATTTTTTCCTCCCTGAAACACAAACTCTCCAATCAACTGAGAAAGACTCCAAATCTAAAACGTAAGCTTTTGCCACTGCAACAACGCCTTTAATTCGACTCCGAGAAATTATTCTCTTAACTGCAGAGCTAATAAGCATCTCGAGAACATACTAAGAAGCTGAACCAAAAGATCATGTAGCAGTTAAAAAACACAATATTTCTTTTCCAATGAATTCAGCGGTTAGGACTTGTGGCTCTTCATAAGTCAAAAGTCCGAATCCTGGACTGAGACTAACCTTTGAAAAATTGTGCAAAAAAATAGCTCAGTTGAAACCTCAACGGGACTTACTTTTTCTCCAGACTAAAAAACATCAGTCTTTCAAAGAATTGATACAATGTCAGCTGAACACACTTTAATCACAACAAACAAACTCAGCCCGCGTTTTTGAATTCTCAAAACTTCAAATATTTGCAAACGCATAACTTTAAACTCATACAAATTATTGTTTCTCTTATCAAACAACGAAATCTGTTTTCTGTGTAGAAAAAAACATGAACACATTAAAACCTCAAAAAAAACCTAAAACACATAAAGCAACAAAACATTAATTGCAAACCAAAGCCAAACTTCCCAGTTGGTCTAGCGGTTAGGATTTGTAGCTTTTAAGCATGTGGCTTGGGTTCGACTCCCAGACTGGCAAGTTTATCCGAAAAAAAAGAATTCTAACATAACAATTCTATTGAAACTTCAATCGGAATTTGCTTATTCCTCTTGATAACACAACATGGATATCCTAAGGCAATTATACCTATACATGGCCATTTTCGCAGTTTTTTCGAAAACGGAAATTAAAAAAAAATCTGGTTTTTTAAAATCTAAATGCTTCAGACGCATGATTTTAACATTCACACCTTAAACCAAACAACGAAATCTGTTTTATATTGTAAAACAACATAAACACGATATAACCTCAAATAAATCCTAAAAGGCATAGAGAAACAAAACAGTGATTGCATAACGAAAAATAACATCTCAGTTGGTCTAGTGGTAAGGAATTGCGGCTCTAACCCACATGGCCCGGTTTCCACTCCGGGACTGGGACAGTGCAATCGCGAAGTTACAAAACTAAAAATTAGCAATATTTCTAGAAGCAAAAACGTTTTCCGCCCTATAACACAAAGTCTGCAATCAACTGAGAAAATCACCAACTCATGGACGTAAGCCATAGCCGATGCAACAACGGCTACTTACCGAATCCATATAACGTTCACATTATAACTCATACAATTATTTGCTTCCTTTATTGAACTAAAAACAAGCTCCTAACAATCTCCCATTAATGCATAATTCAAATTTTGCTCAATTAATGCATAATACATTAGTTTATTTGGTAATATTGACAGTTCTACTTTTATTGACCAATTAGCTTCTAAAAGTTGATATTTTTCTGATCTTGAACCCTTTCTGCTCTTAAACCATTCTGCTAACTGCTCCGCTTCCAAGAGCACCTTTGAATAAGTCACAGACAAACAGATTAAGTACTTTTTGATGGAATATTCCATCAATTTGGAGACGGTTCAGCAATTACAATAGGCTCAGCAGCAAGCCGGATAAAGCTCATTCTGCTGAAAACAGAGGCGAAGCTGCTTTTCGCACACAAAAATGCCAAATGGGAGCTTTCACTTGGCAAGAAAATGCAAACAAAAACTTACCTGATAGTTATTGTTATCTGATTCCAGCATTTCTTCTGGATTGGGACTGGCAGGTTGTGACTCGATTATGACCATATCATCTTCGTCCGAAACCTCTTCCGCGTCTTCAGGCAGCGATAAAACTTGATCAAGTATTGGTCTTTGTTGCTTTTCATGTGACGGCGCATGCATTGTCTTGCTCGACTCAATTGGATTCGGACTATCAAAGAGCTTAGGTTCGCTTTCTTCAGTATGTGAAATAGTTTCTACAATCTCGGTTTCATAGCTTTGTATCAGTTTCTGAAACATAGCACCATAGGCAATGGCACAAAGCTTAGTATATAAAACTTTTAGTAAATAAATTTCTACCCCCTGCCGACCCAAAGCGTCGCCCCTTGGGTACTTTTCAAGAAATCCATTTTTGGCCGACCGAACCTAAAATTTTTCTAAAAGCACCAATATATACTAACTTTGCGGAGCGCGTGCCAAAAACAAACGCAATTTTTTTGTCAAAATTTTCCAAAAAGTTCCCAAAAACGGCTTTTTTACCTGTTTTTCAAAAATTTGCCTGCGGCGCAGAAAAATTGGCCAAAACAGCGCGCCTTTTTACTGCTCTAGGAGAGCTCAGAAAATCGCTTTTGGTCGACCCAAAAAAAGGTCGACCAAATTTTCGACATTTTTTGAAAATCCGCCCATACCCCCCCCCCCCCTTCGAGAAAATCCTAGATCCGCCCCTGGGTAGCATCATGTGTTTTTGTTTAAATCAGGAACATATTTGCGTTTCTTTGTTCACGTTTGATGGTTTCATGAGGGTTGAATTCAAATTTCTGAAACAACTCACGGGAATACTTTCATTTTGCTCTAAAAGCTGATTTTGATGTTGATTGTTCTGTTTTCGCAGTTGTTCCGCCTTATCTTCTTGAGCCAGCAGCTGTTCCTTTAAATCCTAATCCAAAAATTACTCTTCTTTTTTTCCAATTAGTTTAACGAAGGAAACAAAAAAGAACATAGAAGCGTGCAACAGATTCAAAGACAGTATGGGATCAAAAGAAGATCCGAGATTGCAATACCAGAATATGTCACCAACACAACACGACTTTCCGATTGATTTTCACGTAATTCTTTTTTTTGTAAACCCATACCATGAAATAACTTGATGACTTACTAGTTCTACTACCAGAACATCAATATTTATTAGCTGCCCGGGTATTTTTCGAATTATATATTGTCGGAAAAAAGCAAAAAATTTTAGAAAAAACGTTCATCAGCTAAGGAGCTTCGATATCTTTCTACTGAACCACAAAAAGAAAAGAAAAAGTGCAAACCTTCAGTTTCTCATCGAGTAGCTCGCACTCAGTCTTCCAGTACTGCACTTCGCTCACTGAGCCGAATTCTCGCTCGGCCGACAACTCTGATGACGTCATCGGCCTATGTTCAGTAGCATCCACTGAGGATGACGCGACACTGCTACTGACAATGAATCGGTTAAGCCGCTCTACTTGTGAAGAAAGAGTTTCGCTTTCAACTGTCTTGGAGCGCAGCTGCAATTTCAGCTCCTTAAAACAAACAGTCTTTTAGATTTTGTGGATCTACTTAACAATCTCACTTTCAGAGAAAGAGGGGAAATTGTAAAGAAGATTAAATCTGCGAACTTCTGACCAATCAGAATGCAGCAAAAATTGGATTTTTTACTTCTGCTAATTTAAGCTTGTGCTAATTTAGTGTTTTTGTTTAGAGGGAAAGATTCTTTAATAAATACTATAAAGGCAGGGGTGGATCTAGGCTTTTCTCGAGGGAGAATTATAAAAAAAAATTTGAAAACATTAATTTTCATTTTTTTAGGTCGACCAAAGATCAACAGTACAAAATCTTTCAGATGGTACAAAAATTTCGACAATGGCTAATTAGGACGTCGAATATTGACTGAATAAAAAACCACACCAAACATAAATATTCCACGCTTTCTTCGAAAGTCGGAACAACTACAAGAGTAATGAAAATTTTCAACGCTGAAAACCCCTCATGCCAAAAGTACCGAATGCCCGGAAATTATCTCAGCCAATCAAATTTCAGAATTCCAAAATTTCGTAATTTGGCTCAATTAGTTGGGTTTCTACAATTACAAACATGGAACTACATTTGGAGCTAAATCTGAACCTCAATGATTAACTCGGGATCAGAAACAATATTCCGAGAGTCCATTGAGACCCGATCACTTTCTTTCTGTTGCTCGAGCTCATTTTGGATTAGACTGGCCAATTGGCTGTCATCGTTCACTTGCGCATTCTGTCTGCACATCTCGAGCGTCGACATCAGTTCGTTTATCTTCGCTTCCTTCCTCAGCAGTTCTGCTTCAAGCTAAAAAAAAAAAGTTAAGTATTTCAGCACCCCGTGACCGTTTAGCAGATAAAATTCACGCCCAATGGTGAATCTTAACTTTAAAAAACAAGCAAAAATTGGTCGAAATTCAAAAAAGCTCTTGATCTTCAAACTCAAATGATCTCTCTAAATTTTTCAAAATTTCCGCCACTGTTTAGTTAGTTTTCAAAAAAAACGGGCTAGCTCTTGATCTCTTTCTGGCTACCTCTTTCTGGCGGCTGGGAGAAACTGTTCTCTCCGCTTCAGCTCTTTGACCAGAAGGAACTGGCAGTCTAGACGGCTGGGGTAAATTACTTGTGCCACTAGTCCTTCCAGGAGATAACTGCGACTGCTGAGGTCCAATTTGGCCCGCTTGATGAGTAGAGGGGGATGAGTCATCAACGGTGGCTTCATGTGCCACTGAGAAGTAGTCACTGTCCCTTGCTGACTCCAAATTCGACTCCTAAAACGCAAAAATTCCCGGACTGTAATATTCTCAAATAATCAATTTTGAAGGAATTTGATCCTCAGTTTTTATACACCCGATTTTGAAGTAAATTGTTACGGACCTTGTTTTAACCCTTGAGTTAGCCACTCAACCCTGGTGTTGATGAATAGGCTCAGAAATTTTTAATCCATATGAATAATTAAAGATTAAATTCAAAAGTTGTAGGTACTAACACTCTTGCCGGTGCACTCGGAAATTTCGTCGATGTCAGAGAGATTTGCCGCCTGGTTATTCTGACTGAACTCGTCAGTCGCTTCGCTCAGTTCAGACTCGGGTCGACTTTGGAGACCTCTCTCGGGGAGCTGTAACACGAATGCTCTAATAAAGCGTGAGAACAACCCTATCAAAAATTGGAATACGTTTTTTGATGTAACTTCTGTGACACTGAATTATCCATGTTGAGGGCTAATCAAACAGTGTCAAGGAACATAAAAAAGTTTTCCACTACCTAAACGAAAGAACTTCTTGCTCGAAATTAGACTAAAACTCAAATTTCAAATCGATATTTCTCGACTCTAGGATAACTTTTTGAAGACTTATTTGAATATTTTTAGAAAGTTTTAACGTCGTTCGCATCACGACTGAAAGGGTTTGAAAAATCTATATCACTCGGCCAAATCCGATGATTATTTGTGGTAGCTGATTTTTCGAGGAAAACAAAAAAAAATAAAACAGAACCGAATACAAGCTCCTTCCCATTTTCAGTGGTCGGAGCAATGATTATTTTAACGCATAGCAATTTGGATTAAATGGCAAAACACAAACAAGTCGCGCTTTCGTGAACCTTCATCATAGAAAAAACAAGACTGCTCGTATATCAAGGCAAAGCCCTGAAGTTTCCGTCTGTCCCTTAATCCACATCGAATAGTTTTTGGGAAAAGAAAATGTTGAAATTCTATAAATTTTGGACAATATCAAAGTGTGAAAAATATCAGTGAGAAATGTTGAGTCGTAAAAAATTAATACGACCAATCTGATTAGCTAGCCTCAATTCAATTTGGAGCGATTTTTTTGTGGGAGATAATTCGCCAGGCATAAATAATTCGCGTTACGCTCTCAGCAATATGAATAAATTCTTCAATGCGCGCATAATTTAGTCCAGAATGTGGCTTATTTCGCATTTTTCAAACCCCCAAAACTTTACAAAAAAATCGAAAGTAAACTATTTTTTTTACATTTGACCTCAGGAAGTCGGGTAAAAAATGGGGTAAAAAAAAATTTGCCGAAAACTATTGTTCCGATCGGCAAAAATTTACCGAATAAAAAAACCACACCGAGGATGAATATTCCGTTTTCTTCGAAAGTCGGAACAAAAACATGAAAAACGCAGCGCATAATTAAGTCTGGCAAATTAACAATTTGTCAAAAATTGAAACTTCAAAGCTTTCAACAAAAAAAAGATAACAGGGAAAACATCTTCAAAAATTTGCGCTCAGAACGTCAATATTTTGAAGGCGCATACAATTGCTCTACTAATTTGAGCTGAAAATGAGCAACAAAAATGGGCTAGAAAAAAGTTGAAACAGTGGACTGAACGAATAACACGCATAATTTAGTCCAGAACGTGGCTCATTTGGCATTTTTTCAAACCCCCAAAACTTTACAAAAAAATCGAAAGTAAACTATTTTTTTACATTTGACCTCCGGAAGTCGGGTGAAAAAATGGGGTGAAAAAAAATTTGCCGAAAACTATTGTTCCAATCGGCAAAAATTTACCGAATAAAAAAACCACACCGAGGATGAATATTCCGTTTTCTTCGAAAGTCGGAACAAAAACATGAAAAACGCAGCGCATAATTAAGTCTAGCAAACTAACAATTTGTCAAAAGTTGAAACTTCAAAGCTTTCAACAAAAAAAAGATAACAGGGAAAACATCTTCAAAAATTTGCGATCAGAACGTCAATATTTTGAAGGCGCAATCAATTGCTCTACTAATTTGAGCGGAAAATGAGCAACCAAAATGGGCTAGAAAAAAGCTGAAACAGTGGACTGAACGAATAACAGTATGCCCAAAGCTCGTTAGTGAAATCATTTTCCCAAAACATAAATATACAATTATACAGCAAAAAAACGCTCAAGTTCAATCCAGAAATCGATAAGTTTGCTCCATTTCGAAAACAAACAGAACAAGACTGCTCGCATGTGGGGGGATGATTTTTGTGAAAATCATCCCCCCCACACACCATATAAAATTCAAAGTGATAACTTATGCTCCTGATAACAAACCATGTATGGCAAATAAGCTTCGCTCAACCAATTTGGAACGATTTCTCAGACGGATTAAATCTCCGCTAACGCATTAATAGCGCGAAATATATCGCGCGTTAATTGTCCCAAATTGGCCAAAATGCCAACCTTTAAGCCCCCATACTTTACGAAAAAAGATCACAGGTAAACTATCTTTTCAAATTTAAGCTCAAAACAACAATACCTTTCGAACGATTTTTAAAAATTCCGTTAAAAATGGCTAACTAAAAGTCGAAGTTTGTCTGAAGAGAAAAACCCAACCCGAGCACAAACATTCCGTTACTTTTGTTACAAAATTCGGAACAATAACTGTGGTTTTCTTTTTATTTTCAATTGCCGCGTTAACTTATTTAGAATATATATTGCGCATTTTTTATCAGCATTCTATTATCACCTAGCACAGGCGATTATTTAATAGCTCAGAGATCCTTGCAAACTGAATTGAGCATATAATTTGATCTGATTAATGCGTTATTAACATATCACTTAAAACTTGCCACACAGTGTGAGGGAATTAAAACCCGCGTGCGTGGGGGAACGAATGGATCAAGCGTAACGAAACTAACGGAGTATTTGTGCTATTTTTTTCTTCAGACAAATTTCGAATTTTTAACTAGCCATTTTTGACGGAATTTTTTTTCAATCGTTCGAAAGGTATTGTTGTTTTCAGCTTAAATTTGATAAGATATTTTACCTGTGATCAGTTTTTATAAAATCATTGGGATTTAAAGATTGCTATTTTGGCCAAATTGGGACAATTCACGCGCGATATGTTTCGCGCTATTAACGCGTAAGCCGAGATTCAATCCGTCTTAGAAACCGTTCCAAATTAGCCGAAGTAAGATTATTTGCCATAATTGATATGTTACTACGATCAAAATTTATCACTTTGAATTTTATATGGCGTGTGGGGCGATGATTTTCACAAAAAATCTCAAATTAAAAAAAAATTCATTTTTTTTATTATATTTAGTTTTTTCAAGTTATCACTGCTCCATTGAACTTAAAAGGTAGTCGCGAGATTCAGAGCTTCGCCCTGATACGAGCAGTCTTGTTCTTTTTGTTCCGACCCTCTTATCGAAAGTAACGGAATATTTGTACTCGGGGTGGTTTTTTTTCTTCTGACAATATTCGACTTTTCAACTATCCATTTTGACAAAAAATTTTTTATATCATTCAAATAGTATTGTTGTCCTGAGCTTAAATTTGAAAGATACTTCAACTGTGATCATTTTTTGGAAAATTATTGGGATTTAAATATTGCTATTTTGGCCAAATTGGGACAGGTCACGCGCGATATATTTCGCGCTAGTAACGCGTAAGCCGGTATTAAATCCGTCTTAGAAATCGTTCCAAATTGATCGAAGTAAGATTATTTGCCATAATTGATATGTAACTACGATCATCATTATCAATTTTAACTTAAAATGGCGTGTGGGGTGACAATTTTCACAAAAAAAAACAATCTCAAATTTGAAAAATTCATTTTAATTTTAATACATTTAATTTTTTCATGTTATTACTGCTCCATAGACCTTAAAAGGCAGTCGAAACACTCAGGGCTTCGCCCTGATACGAACAGTCTTATTAATTTTGAGCTCATTAGATCAAGATGTTTACACAGAGGCGAAGCAGGGATTTGCGACACTTTTAAAACGAACAACAATCGCAGTATTGCCAGCAAGCTAAAAGAAATTTCGACAGAAATCATTTTGTAAAAAAAATCAACATTTTTTGACAAAATTAAAAACATCAAATCAAAACATAGCCAACAGACAGTTGGAAAAGACTCAATGAACGCAAATACACATAAAAAAATATTAAATTGCTTTATGAAAAATCTCAACTTTCGAATTTAAAAGATGCCCTAAAAGCTCTTTAAATTTTTAGAAAAACTTATGATTGGCTTTTTTGATAAAATTAACCCAATTTGAGAAAATTGAATCAATCAGAAAAATTAGATTTCACTTTCTAAGCTAGGGTCGATCACGTTTTTCGACCTTTTCGATAGTGGAGTTCGTCGCCCTCCTTTAAGCAATGAAAATAAATTGAAACCTGAAAAGAAACCAAAAAACTAACCACGAAAAAGTAAATTTGAGCCTGAAAAAGTTTTCAGACTTTTCCTGAAAAAAAAACGAAAAAAAAAATCGTCGCAACATATATAAGAGTGTGAACTGCGTTCATTGTCTCTTAAAAAATTTGACAAGCACAAACAAAAGCCTTAATTAGGATTTTTATATCATTAGCATCCGTTAGGCGACAAGACTTGAGAAAAGCCATATGCAAGTATTGTCACAAAAAGTTACAGCGCTCAGTGTTTAAGCCATAACATTCTTGAATCAATTTTCTAAAAAAAAAACATATCATTTTGCCTTTTAAGCAACAACAAAAAATTGAGCCAGGAGAACATAAACGGAAAGCATTATATTGATTTAAAAATTAAAACAACTTAGTCAGAACCCGAGTTGGTAAATTGATGAAATACAAGATCGACCGTCAACTCGAAATTGCCTGAATCAGAAAATATTCCATGTTTCGAAAAGAATTATAGACAGACGAACAAAAGTCCCACAACTCAAATTTTTCCGGAAAATTTTTTCAATTTCATACACTAAAAATATTCCGACCGGGACTCGAGCCCCAAACATTGCGTTGCAAAGACAACTGTGATCTCTAAACCAAGTGGAAAGCAGCCTGTAATTTGTTACGGCTCACAACAGAAAGCAATTAATAAAAAACGGAAAGTGAGCCGATAAGAACTAGAACGAAACCCAAAAATCCGAAAAAAAAAATCCAATTAATATTCATTCAAACAATAATACATGTTATGACAGTTTTACATCAGCAATTACACATTTCATGGGAAAAGAACGTTTCTTACATATCCCTAACTTTTGCGCCTCAACTGTACTATTTTTTGAAATACCAAACTTTGCTTTTCAAATGACACAAAATAAGTTGACTGAGCCGAGATACACCGAGTCGAAGCTGCGTTTTGCACACTAGCAAGGAAACGATAAAAAAAAACAGCTCTAAGAAAGTAGAAAAAAGCCTCGAACTAATAAAAAAATGTGCTTCGTGTCCGATTCCAACCTGCAACTCCGAGATTTGGAATCTCACGTCTTTCCTTCTCAGCCACAGACGCTCAGAGATCCGTAAACACTGGCACAAAATAAGCAGAGTACAAATGCTATGAAATTTCCCATGCTACAGATTGTGATTATAGCAAATTGCCACCAAATTAGTCATCTCTTTTAATAAACACTTTTATTTGCGAGTTAGGTTGGAAAAAAGAAGGTTTTTACTAATACACTACGCTCGCAGAAAAAATTAGATCAGAAAAAAGTTATACTTGGATTGAAAAGAAAAGTGGTTTTATCTTGCAAAACAAGTGTTTTCTCAGCCTCAATATTTTAAAATTCTCACATTAGTGACACCAATGATGTCTTCTTCTGATTCAGCGAGTTCATGAGTGGTTATAGTTTCAGGTTGTCCTTCCACGCCAGAATCAAAAGTCGAAATTTTCATCTAAAATGATATCATTGAAAGCTTAACATTGAAAAACTAAAATTTATTTTTTAAGCACTGAAAACGTAGCCAACATACAGTTGGAATATTCACAGTCAATTAAATCAAGAAAAGCAACTTTTTTGAACAGTTTTTAGTTTTCAGCATAAACCTTTTCGAATTTGGAGAAACTTTTATGATATGCAATTTTTCATAAAACCAAACCTGCTACAAAAAAATGGGGCAATTGGCTTTGTTTTAATTCCGCTACGAAATCTAAAGAAATCCTCTCTCAAAAAATAAAATATTTTCGCGCCATTTTTGCACATTCGTAATTGGAAAGCGTAATTTGTCTTTCTTTTAGTAAATGATTTGAAGGGAACTTGGATTGAATTGAACAAGAAATCAAACATCAAAACGCAAAAAATCAAAATTTGATTTTATTGCTACCTATTTTGTATTGTTTTTCCAAAAAAAGGAGACGACTCTAATTGGTGCCTTCACTGCGTTACTTCACACTGAAACATATTATCCAGTTATTGTGTATCGAAGTACGAATACCTTTTCCTGGCAGTATCCACGTCATGCCTCGCAGCATGGCCCAAATCTGGTACAAACCTTCTGCAACAGGAACATCGTTGCCCAATTCATGTTTTTGAAGCAAAGATGAAGCAAAAAGTTAGGAACCCATAGCCCTCTTATCTCCAGTAGCGAAACTGATTGGAAGAAACCTGCTGGATGATTACTTCAACAACATCCCACCAGCAGATCACCAGCACGAAAACAGGTCAGCAAACACTGCCTTAAACTGCATAGCAACTGACGTGAGAAACGGATTAAATCAACCTCGTCCTACACATAGGACAATCTTAGTTGCACTAGACCTTACTGCAGCTTTCGACGCAGTGAATCTCAGTACCTTGCTGCACGGTCTTGAAAAATCGTCTCTTCAAAACAACACGAAAAGGTGGATAGCATCATATTTACAGGGCAGGGCAACTTATGTTGAATTTACAAAAGAAAAGTCTAGAAAACGACAAACAAAACTTATGTTCAAAAATTACATGTCATCAATGCTCCTTCCATATGCCAAAAAATACATCGAAAAAACAAAATATGCAATCCTATCTAAAAACTCTAAATAATTGGCTTCATCAACGCAATTTGAAACTATCTGCGGACAAATCTTCGGCAACTATCATAACAACCTGGAACAAAGAATCAAACTATTGTGATTATTGAAAACAACCTACCATTAGAAAAACCTTAAACTCTAGGAATCAGCTTTGATAACCTCTTCACTTTCACTGAACACATTACCACAGTGTCGAACAAACTCCAAAAACGCAATAACTTACAGAAAAAAACTCTCAGAAACAAGCGGGGGTGCAGCAAAGAAACTCTAAGTAATGTTTTGACACACTACTGGTCGTAGCGTTTTGAATTACGCAGCTCCTGTCTGGACACTTTCAATGTGTGACTTTTGTTGGAAAGAGCTTCGGTTTCGACAAAACACAGCACCTAGGATTTGTAACTGGCTGCACAAAAATCACTCCAATTGAACTCAAACTCCATCAATAGCTTCGGACGAAAACAGCCTTCCCAGAAGTTCATGACGTACCCCTGCTCAACTCCGCTGTGGATATAGCACGCAATTAAATAGCAAACTGTCGAGATTGGAAAAAAAATACCAAAAAAAAACTGCCCAAACCGTAACGTAGTCCGCATTACATACACCACCTCTTCAACTTCCCATTGAAGCCAACTTCTCTTAGGCTTGACGACCTGTGGGACAATCCCGTGGCAGTCGCAAAATGGCTCATTTTACCAACATAACGGGGCACATTAGATGTTTTTCTCATATCTCCGCACTAATTAAAAACTATCCGCTGTAATCGGGCACGGGATTTTTGCTCGGTTCTCCGGACCAAAAAATAGGGCCCCCTACAACGGGGGCCTTATTTTTTGGATACACCACCTCTTCAACTGCCCTATGAAGCCAACTTCTCTTAAGCTTGACGACCTGTGGGACAATCCCGTGGCAGTCGCAAAATGGCTCAACTTACCAACATAACGGGGCACATTAGATGTTTTTCTCATATCTCCGCACTAATTAAAAACTACCCGCTGTAATCGTGCACGGGATTTTTGCTCGGTTCTCCGTACCAAAAAAATAGGGCCCCCTACAACGGGGGCCCTATTTTTTGGATACACCACCTCTTCAACTGCCCTATGAAGCCAACTTCTCTTAAGCTTGACGACCTGTGGGACAATCCCGTGGCAGTCGCAAAATGGCTCAACTTACCAACATAACGGGGCACATTAGATGTTTTTCTCATATCTCCGCACTAATTAAAAACTACCCACTGTAATCGTGCACGGGATTTTTGCTCGGTTCTCCGTACCAAAAAATAGGGCCCCCTACAACGGGGTTTAGTCATTACTTTCAGAAAGAGGCCTTTCTGTTCATAGAGAACTGTGGTAAAGCCACAGTTACTGTTGTACGGACGAGACGAAAAAATCAATCAATCTAAAATTAATTGAAAATAAAGGCAACGAAGTCTTTATTCTAGGTTTCGTAACGGAATGAAAATAAGGCAAATAGTACTGAAAGGCAATGAAGTCACGAATTGGACGAACCCTCCTTTTGCAGCTAGAAACAACAACATTCAGTTGTTATTCAAGCTCGATGGTCAATTTTGCGACTCGAGGTCAAATTTGGGCTACTGCAGTGACAAAAAACATCTACGTCATTTTTCAGTGCAGCTCGATTGCATATGCATATCATTTATTCAATTGGACCGAAACTTATAAGCACAGTGAAATCATTGCAGGTATAACTAATTACAGCTAAAAATTCAGGCTTGACAGCCGCTTTTCACTTGAACTCATATCACAAAAGTTTTACCGGTTGATTGAACACTGCTCGGTTCTGTCGTGGTTCCATAATAGCTTCATCTTCAGCTATTGGTTCGCGTGCTACCATTGTGTCGTCACGGAATGGCGGAGCAGGAGCCTACGGTGAACAAATTATTGAACTTGACAAAAAATTCTTATATTCAGAAAACAATTAATTTTGACAGGATCTCTGACGGTTTGCATCCTATATCATGGTTCAAGTCGAGCCAGAATGATTATAATATCAATCTAATTTTCTATTTTGGCAATAACCTCGCAGCGCTTTCAGTCAAAACAACCCATAAACCATCATTTTTAGAAAGAAATGATTGAGAAAATTTTTGCTCATTTTCAAGTAAATATCTAAAACAACACCCTAAGCCGACAGTTCAAACCATAGAAATTCCCTCAGGCCTCAATTGAGAGTCCAATTAACATCTAACCCAATCACTCACTTGGGTTTGATAAGTAGATGAAAGCAAGGCGCCTGGTTTTTCTACTCTAGTTATTGGCATGCTTTGCAACTGCCCGTCTTTTACAAAATCTTCCGGTATTTCTTCTTCGCTTAATTGTCCAGATGGATTGGCCACATCTCGGGGCTTCTGATTACTGTTTTCTTGTCTTGCTTGGGATTCGAATTGTTTCTGGGCAGCTAATTGCTGAAAAAGACGAGTTGACTTAAAAATATATTTTTTCAATTCTTCAAAAAATGTTCCGAAAAATCTTACCTCGAGTTTGGCCTTCAGCTGCGAGTTTTGTTCAATCAATTCGTGATTTCGCTCTGAGGAAAGATCCAAATTCTGCTGACACAAGGCCAGGTCTTCTTGCAGGGCTGTATTCACATCAGTGGCACCTGCCTATAATCACACAATAATCAGTCACAGTCAGATAACCACCATTCGAGATTAATTGTCTAAGAATGTCCAGAAAGCTAGATCTAGATCAAACTTACAAGCCCTCCTTACTATGTTTTTCTTTGCATTCGACGCCACTTTTCGTTGAAAACCAAATGTACGCTTAGCTTAGTTCAAAGCAGTAGCATGCAAAGATTTTTTTAATCTTGGGAGGAGTATTTGAGTCGCACTAACGATATACGATATGAATTTGCAAAGCAACCCGATTTTGTTAACATGAAAAGATACGCAATCAAAATTCAGTTGAAACTATATTTAAAAAAAAAACAAATTCAACGCACGAAAATCACGTGAAATGATTTGAATTGAGAAGAAAAAACGTTTCTTACACCAGAGATTAAAAGTGTCCTCAGTTTCGAAATAGTTTCCGCTTTCTCCTCGTTCTCAGAGCTCAGTTCAGCCATATGTTGCATTACAGTTTCAGCATTGTTTTGCGCCTGTTTTAAGTTCAAGTTCTCACGCTGAAAAATAAAAAAACACTCTCAAATTAAATTTCAAAAACGAAAACTCGAGTAAATGATTGTGTAAAAACGTAAAAACTAACCGATGCTTTTTGTTTCAAGGCAGCATTTTCTCCTTTCAGCTCTGACAAGTCCAGCTCCAACTGATTATCAGAGACTTCTTTTGTTGTCTAAAAGAGTTTTTTTAAATCAATTCGTAACTTTCGCGGCCATTTTTTTCGGCACGATGCTCGCTCACGAGTGGCTGTTTTAGAAATCGTATTTTGAGCTCCGGAAAGCTAGTTTTTTTACCATGGATGCCAAACAAAAAGATAAATTGCAAAACAATCAAACTAGGCGAATTAGGTTTAAAACAGACTCTGCTATTCCACCAGAAAGTTTCTTAATAAAAAATTTCTGTTTTAAAACATTCCGCTAAAGGTCTCATTATAAATAAGGATCTTGTTAACTATCCCCCCCTTTTAGACCTGGTTAACCACCCCCCCCCCCCCCCCCCCCCCCCCCTATGCATGTATTCTTTTTGACATACATTTCTGTATAAAAAATGCATTTCAAAAATATCAAAAATTAATTGGGTTTTTGTTTTCGCGCGTTCGTATTTGTTTTAGCTACTATTTATATAGTACCTATATGAAAAATTTTAATTAAACATTGTCTTAAGCTATTGAAAATGTGACAGCCAAAGTTGAATTTCTGAAAATCGAAATAGGGGGGGGGGATAGTTAACAAGATCCATAAATAACATTCAACCCATCAAAAATTTCCCATAACTATTGTTGTTTGATTTATTTTGAAAAAGCAGACCTCATTATCCGAATTTTGATAGCCGTTTTCGACCATCTGTCGAAGTGCTTCATTTTCGGCTTCTAGTCTCTTCACATCTTCCAACAGTTTTTCATTGTCGGTCACTAACTCCTGCAAGAGATGAAAAACAAATTTTCAACTTCTCAAAACTTCTGGGAAAGCTACTAAATGATCAGCAAAGTCATGAGGATACACTTTAAAACAATTATATATATTAAACATCAAAGCTTGAATAGTTCTTCTAGGGAACGAAAACAAAAGAAGAGAAATTATTTTGAAACACAGGCGAAGCGGAGCTAACGCACCACTTGCGATACAAAAAACATAAGTCGAAAAGAGAAAGATTTTAAACATTTTATGCGATTCGGAGGGAAACAAACAAATTATGTTTTCCTCAAACGACCCAAAATTAGGTTAGTAAGCCGAAAAAATATAAGCCGAAATCATTTAGGCCTAAAACTTTTTTAAGCAAAAAAAATCAAAAAAAGGAAAATATACGAAATCAAGGCGAATAATAAAACTACAAATTGCAGGAGTAAATGAATACATAGAAAAGCAACTACAATGAAAACATAAAAAGCAACTACAATGAAAAATGCATACAGCAAAAAAAGACTAAAATGTGGCAACTAAGCCGACAAAACATAAGCAGAGAAATCATAAACCGAAAATTTTTGAAAGGGAATATTTCCCATTTGAAAATAAAATAGGTCCTGGTCAGATCCGAAACCAGGACCTTTGCCGTCCCAGGCGTATTAGTTACCTCCAGACTAAGTTTGCCGGACACGCTTACAAACTTGAAATCATTATGAACCAAGAGACCAAGTGATTCAAGAGACTCAGATAAACAAGTTGTTAACCCGAAAAAAGTCTATATTCCCATTTGATAACGCTTGCTAATCGCAAGCGTAAACACACCCGAATACAAATTTCCTTCCACTTTCAGTGTTGCGGTCGAAACAATAAAAGTCAACTGCCAAAAATCAGATTTGAGCGTGATCATTTTTCAGACTTTTCAACAATCTGAACAACCTGAACGACAAGATTACGATCTCATATCTTAATCGTCCTTATATAAAGTTAACGAACATATAAGCTGGAAGATTGTTGAAACCAGGAAAATTGTATAACAATTCGACTACACTAACCTCCAATTCGGGTTCGAATTCAAGTTTCTCGTTTTTCAATTGCGCATTGGCTTCTTTCATTTGGTGTATTTGATCCTGAAGGTTCGACAACTCCCGAGCCAAAACATGACTCTTCGCGTCGTTCTGAAAAAAGTTAAACCTAATTCGCGTTCAGCGGCTTGCAAACTGTTGGAAAATTTCGAATCGTCAACAAAATTAGACAACATATCCATGCACTGAAATAAAATTTCGTCGCAAATGTAGAAAAAAGATTTACCGGATCTGCCAAAGCGATTCTGATTGAATCAATTTCTTCTTCTAGGACACGCTTATCCTGCATTAGACCATGCTGACTGTCTTCCAACTGGACAATTTGCTCCTTGGCAGTTTTCAGTTTGTTACTCAGCTCCTATAAGAAAAAGAAATATATAGACGTTCAAGCACCAGGCTAAAAAAAATAGCTACGGAAATCAACAGAAAACTTTTCGGGGAACCTAGAAAACTTTGATTATTATCCTTTCCCTTTTCAACGTCGAGAAACAACTGCGCCTCGCCGATTCTCAATGTTTCATGATCTGACTGATCAAGGAAATATCCTCAGGCACCAAGAGAAAAACACGGTTGAATCGACTTCTGCATTTAGAGGCGGAAGAACCAGACAGATCACCTTATAATAATCATAATATTAATAATAAATTGTTTTCAAACGATATCTAGTTACAGAGTTATTTATATAAATTTACAAATACAAATTGGAATCGTTTGAGAGAACACCATTAAGCCACCACGGCCTATTTTCAGGTGTCTCATTCGATCTCTTCATCATTTCCAGCAAGGACAATTCCACTGTTTTTCAAGATTTATCCACAAAAAAATGTAAAAGGGCAAAAAGCAACAAGAATAACCGGTTGCTGTGCAATTAGAACAAAGTTGCGATCTCACGCCACGCACATAGAAAAAAAATTTCAAAGTGTGTCGTTTTTTGTGCATAATTTGATGAGAGGAGCTAAACGATAGCTTAAGAAAAAGTAAACTGGGCATGTTCGATTGCAGTTGTCTTCGAAAAATGAGTTATTTTTTGAAGTCTACCAATAATTTTTTTGTTAGGACTACTCTAAATGAAGCTTCAAAAACTAGTTTTCCTGGAGTAACATTAAGTTGTTCACGACTTCAAAAAAGGTTTTATCTTTTATAAAATCTACTCGCTCAAAACTAAACTAAACAGCAAAAAAGTCAACGCTTTTTGAAAGCCTTTTTATGTCATTCGAAGCACGATTGAAGAGCTTCAATATGATATATCTCTCGGCCCATTCTGATGATTATTTGGTTTTTGTGTGGGAAAAATAAAATCTTTTTTTTTGAAAAAACGCACCCGAAGACAAAATTCCACACTCCCTTTCTATGGAAGTTCAATGATAAGGTCATTGATTTTATGTTCGATACAAAGACAAGACAGAAGTAGACACACTATTCCCTTCAAAATCCTCTTTTCGTCACCGTCATTGAAACACAAAGGAGAAGCGACACTTCGCACAACTAACAAAACAAAGCAAACATGGCATGACAAACTCGCCGACAAAAATGAGGCGAAGCCGCTAAATCGAATTTTGTCCCAAGAAGCTCTTTGCTCATCAAACGACGCAATATGAGACCAAAATGTGAAATTAGCTTAAACTTTTTAAGCTCAAAATTCAAAAGTAAAATTTAAAACATCAAAAGCAAAAAAAGAAACGAAAACTGAAATTATAGTTTAACTTGCAACCAGAATTTAAAAAACTTCGAATAGAACGGGCATTTAAAATGCATGCATGCTTACAATAAGTCTTTTCGTTGACGCGAGTATATATTTGACGACAAATTTCAGACTTTCTGTGAACAAAGTTAATGAAGTCTAGTAGTTGCAATAATCAATCGCAAGGGTAACAACCTTCAGTGAAACGAACCTATGCGCAGAAAATCTGCAACCGAAATTGGAAAAAGAAAAACAGTTATCTGGATTTGGGTGGGGAAAAGTTTTACACAGCCGCGAAGCTGCGCTTCGCAAACACTAGCGAGTACACGACAAAAAACAGCTCTAGATAATGCAAAAAAAAGTAGAAATAAGCCTCGAATCAGTAAAAACTCATCTACGTCGCGGAATCGATTCTCCAACCTAGAGACTATGAGTCTCACACACTAACCACTCAGCCATGTACAGCGAAATTTACATATAACTCAACACTTTTAATGAACTCTTTTACTTGCCAAATAGGTTAGAAAAAAGAAAGTTCGTACTAATACACTAATGCTCGCAAGCTCACTAGTGTAAAAAAATTTCGTCCACAAATTCAGTTATCGGAACAAAAATGACAATTACGCGGTGCATATAAAAACAATGACCAGCTATTCGTAAGCCTTTTCGGTCTCACTTTAGTTCATAACTGACCTTCACTTTGGCCTGAGACTCTAGAGTCATTCCCTTTGCTTCATTTGCCTCCTCGATCAACACTTTGTTCAGCTCAGTCTGCTTCCTTATATCCTTCTTCAAAACTTCCCCTTCCTCTCCCTCCACTGATTCGGCCAATTGGTCCCTCAACTCGTTCAATTCCTGGTCCAGTCTGATGATGTCATCATTGGCGAAAGACACTTCTTTCTGCAGACTGAGAATTCTGTCTTCACTTTCCCTCTTCAGTTTCTAAATCAATACACAATAGTTCAAATTACATCCAAATTTGAGGTCGGTACAGAAAATGGACAAACAAATAAACATAGAAGAGCATGTTTTTTTATTTATCGACAAGAGTTTACTGGTTGGCGGATAGTCATTGAAAAATAATCTCATCGGAAATAGAAATTCGCAATAAGAGACCAACATTGTTCTGTTACCTGGTATTTGGCCGCTTCCATGTCCAGTTTTTCGTCTAACTTTTGGTTGCCACTACGCAGCTCTTGACACTTCTTCTCAGCTACTTCGAGGTCTTTTATCGTCGCGACAACCACTGTGTTCAATTCCTGCATAAATTATTGAAACAGGTTTCATCGAAATATTATTAACTGGAAAAATAAACTGCCGCACCCATTCACGATGGACCTTTTACACGACGTGAACATTTTTGTCGGATCCTCAATCCTTTTGAGTCTTTTTCTTTTCAGTTAACCCTGGAGATTGAAAAAATATATATATAAACTTTAGTCTGGTCTTAGAAAAACTCGGATGCTATTGGGAACACATGCAAAAAAGTAGGACAGTCTTCAACGAATTACTTTTGTTCAGCCTCAGCAAGAACTGTAGACAATTAAGTAGGTTAGGTACCGCATTTAAGAAAAGTGAAAACAAATCGATTATAATGGATGAAAAAAGGATTTTGTTGCCTCGAAAAATAGTAATAATATAATCCATGTATAATTGATTATAATCATTTTTTTTCACTTTTGTGGACACTGACAAGGAAACTGAATTATAAACGATTTTTATTCATGGAACTCCAATGCGGGGCCGTTCGGTCTACGCAGACCTACCTGTGGGTTGTTGGATGTAGATGTAGCGGTGGCACTGATAGCTTGTCGGGTGTGGTTTAGAGTGGCCTGGAGCTGTCTGCAGTCTCCCTTAAGTCTGTCTCTCTCTTGTCTCAACTCACTCACACGTTTGCCCTCATTCTTCGACAGGTGCTGAACAGAAAACAGAACAAAGTGATAATACGCTAACGCATAAGACGACAGTTGTAGAAAAGCGACAAATTGTAGCACTCAGACAGCGAGACAATTTGCAGTATTCAGACAATGCGATAAAAATGAGATCTACTAAATTAAATGGAAGTCAAACTGAGAAGCGACAGGGAATTTGCTAAGGTCCCCGCCTCTCAGTCTTAAGGTCGGCGGTTTGAGGCCCACCAGTATCCGTGCCCACAAACCTCAGCCCAGAAAAATCACATAACGAATAGCACGTATTTTTCTAAACTACATTACTCACATGTACTTGCGAAAGAGTGTCTTGGTACTGTTGAGCTACTCGTTCGTTTACTGCCTTCAATTCCCTATTTGCATCCAATGACTTCTTCAGCTCTTTGCGTAACACATCCTCTTCTTCCACACCAGACTGAAAACAGATTGAGATTAGAATTTTCGTTTTAAGTGCCAAAATGGCCGACAGCAGAGGCGAGCTGTATTTTGCAAACACAAGCAAAAAAAAGCGGTTAGGGAGCTCTTAAAACTCATTAAAACACAAGTAAAAAGTTAAAAGAAATTATATTATTATTATTTTTAAAAAATATGGTTCCGATGACTGCGAAATTCGAACCAAGCACACTAATATTTTTACCACATTCATTTTCGGGTTGTATGGGTCAAACTTTGCAGAACGGTTTCTGCATGGCAATTCAGTTTCTATGAAGATCTTTTTTGTTTAATCTAAAACTGACCGGTTGAAAGAGGTTCTCCCTGAGGTTGTCGACCTCTGCTTGCAGCGCTCTATTAGCTGACCTCAGCCTTTCAATCACAGTGTTCGAATTCGTCGCTAGATCTTTATCCCCACCACTTGATTTTTTCGCCACTCCAGTAGGTGAAGTCGCCACAGACCCGGACAGAGTGGACGACGATGAGTCAAACACGAACTCCTACAATACAAGTCAGTGAAAGACTCCTACATATAAAAACGTTCGCTGCAAGACGCAGATTAATTTCATCACAATCGGTAAAATAATGAAATTCTTGATAGGATAAAGTTGCTCATTTGAAAAAACCAGAAAAAATGAGCAACGGAAGCAATTCAAACAAAAAAACGGTGATGTTCAATTGTCAAAAAATTTTCGCGTTGTTAATCAATCAATTCACTTCTGAAATTTTGGAACCCTTCCGAAGTACACGAAGCAAGCAAGTCTTAAAAAATGACAAAAAACCTACCCTGAGTTTGTTCTGAGTCTTCTGTAGTTCGTCCTTGAGAACTTTGTTGTCCTCGTGCATCAAAGTGTTCTCTCTCTCCGCCTCGTCCAGGTCATTTTTCAGCATCTTCAGGAGCTGCTCCTCTGTGGACTCCTGTTTACTACCTTTAGTCCCTTTCGTAGTAACAGTAGTAGTGTCTTCAGGATCACCTTGGTTAGGTTTTTCAGTAGACTGCGACTTAGACGGCTGAAACAATAAAACGTACTATTTGTCACGAGCCAAAAATATCCAATAGTTTCTTAAAAATGATCATTTATGAGCTCCAAGTCGGCATTTTTACTCAAGGGCGAAGCGGAGCTTTGCATTTTTGTGATACAAAACTAAAGCGCAATCAATATTCTAATATATTTTGGGTGACCCAAAACCTACAATCGAAAACTCAATATTCTATGGAATTTCTATGCAAACAGTTTTTCGAAAAATTATTTATAAAGATAACTGGCAGTGGTATCACAACATTAACACAGAAGTGCAGGTGCCCTTCGAAAAATATTGCAAATAGCAGAGAACACAACTTGGCATGCAGCTGAAAACTAAATGAAACATAAAAAAAACTGAAAAATACAGAAAGAGAAACACTAAATAAGGACACCAAAAAATCTACTTAAGCGTCGGAAATTATTTTTTAATTCAAATCTTGACATTTTCAGGACAACGGCAAAATTTCTGCTGCAGAGTCGAAAAAAAATCGCAATAAGTACAAGCTTCGCAGAGAGAATTTCAGCAAAAACCATCCACCTCGAGAAAAATTGATCGAAGATAATTTGTGAACGCTAAAAATCTTTCCGCCAGCACATGCTCTGTTGAGAATTTGCTAAACAATTTCAAGCAGAAAGGGTCAGCTGAGCTGATAAAATGTTCGCAGAAACCTTCTACGCAGAAAAAAATAATGGAAAAATATTAGAAAAACAGACAAAATTTGAACATCTCAATTTTTGAACTAAACACAGATGCGAAGCTACAAACGCAAGAAATTACAAAGTACAGAAAATTTTGAAAAATAAATGACTTCTACGGATTTTGGACACCCAAGTACTATCGTCGACTGCCGTTCATACCTATGACAGTGGAGTTTACAGAGACCAAACGCTAGTCACTAATACATTGGAGAATACATGCTATAAAACTGCTTATACAATGCAGCAAAAAATCAATCAAGTTGAGCGCTATTATTTGCGAATTAGGTTGGAAAAAGTACAGTTATGAATATGACACTACGCTCACTAGCTCGCATGTGTAAAGAGACAGTGTTTATAAACTACGCACGCTAGATTGACACTAGGTTAATTCCAATGGTTCAATAAAACCAATTTAAATCAGCAACAAGGACAGCCGGTTACTGTGCAAGAAGCACAGAACTTTCCACTATAGTCTTAAAAAACACCAGAAACTTGTTCAAATCAGTTTCATTTTTCAACGTGATGAGATAAAAGGAGCTCCAAAAAGCTAAAAATTAGGCATATTCGACAGCCATAGTAAAGTAAGCAAATTAAAAAACAATTTTTTAGAAAAATGACTAGAAAAACAAAAAAAAATTAAGAAAATCCAAAGTAATTACTACAAAAATAAGTAAATGAACTTCGAAAAAAAAAGTTATCGAATACCTAATTGTTCCAAACAAGTTTGGCAAAAATTGAAATGATACTATAAAGCTTGCTTGTTTTAAAAGCGGTAATTAGGCCAACTTAACTTGGGTAGAAGAAATTCGAAGAAAAAACGGAGTTGTTAGTCTTACAAATCAATTTTCAGCCAAAACAGAACTTGAAAATTTGTAATCTTTCTCCCATTGTACGAACAGACATAAGAACTCTGAATTTTTATTTGGACAATTAATACGAGGCAACTAATCTGATAGAAAAAAGCCTTCCGCCTTTAACCCAAAAAAAAACAATAATTTAACTAAAAAATAGTCTTATTCGAGTTAGTAGCTATTTTTCTTTTATATGTAAATGTTAATATTATAAAAAGTACACAGTAACAGATAATTAAACTTAAATTTCTATAAAATTGAACATGTCAGCACTTCGAACAGTGAAAAAAAATGATTGCAAGTGACCTTGAAGAAGTGACCGAAAAAGTACAAAGGAGAATTATTTACAGGAACATAACATCCAATTCCACAAATGTGAATATGAAATATTTTTTACCATGGTTTCGCTTTGCTGTTGGGCGAGGGCGACTGCCTGTCTGAGTTGTCTCTTCTGCTGTCTCACAGTTTCCTTAAGGTTCTCATTCTCTCCCTCAACTTCCTTCAGACCTTCCAACCCCCTCAGCAGACTCAGAATCTCGTCTTTCTAAAAATCATTGACCCAGAGGTCAAATGAGCATCAACCAGTCAGGAAGGGTTTTGGATCTTCACAAGAAAAGGAGCTGACAAACTCCGGAAATTTTTTTAAGGTCACTCGATTGGATTTTAGGAACTAGATAGGACTAAAAAAAAAGCTGTTGAAAAAAAACGGATCTTGTGAACTATTTCCCCTCCCCTTTTGGACCTTTCTCCCACCCCCCCCCCCCCCCCCCCCCCCACCTATACATGTATTATTTTTGACAACCATTTCTGTATAAAATAAGCACTTCAAAAATGTCAAACAAACGTAGACTCTGAAAAACATTTTTCAAAAACTTTGTGAGAAGAATTCACACAACTGCATCATCAATTTTTCTATCTGAATACATTTTGCAGCAATAATTTACCATGAAATCCTTCTGCTTGTCAAACTTTTCTTTTTCCTCATTCAGCTGTTCGTTTTCTAATTTCAACTTTTCGCATTCTGCTATCAAATCTGCTATTTTAGGCTGTGCGGCTTCCATTAAGTCCCTTGCTGCGTCATTCGGCGAGACACCTTCGAGGTCCGCGGACGCTTCTGAAAACAATACCCGGGTTGAGCTCACAATAAAAATTAGCGATAAAAAAGTGAAAAAAAAACAGCGATTGCCATCGATGAATTATCGCTAATTTAGCGCTGGAAAAATTATCAATTTTTTTATCGATGGATTATCGCTAATTTAGCGCTGGAAAAATTATCAATTTTTTTATCGATGAATTATCGCTAATTTAGCGCTGGAAAAATTATCAATTTTTTTATCGATGGATTATCGCTAATTTAGCATAAAATTTTCGGTATAACTTTTGAGTACCTGACGGTTAATTCAACTTTTACGGCGTGAACATAACGTTCGTGACAACTTTGTTCCAAATTTTGCAAAACAGTTTGAATTGAAACCGAAATTCATCTTACTGTTCTAATTGGCTGGTGCGCTTGCATTAAAAAGTATGATCCTTCATGATTGAACTTTAATAGGTGAAAGTCTCTTCTTTAATTCTTTTTGTTTCACGTGCTAGTTGATTAATGAAAACTTTATATCTAACTTTATAACGTAGTCTTTGAACAATGAGAAAATAAGAACTCACCGGAGAGGATTTCCCTGATGACAGAAACAACCGGTGTCTCATTCGCAGTCGAAAACTCTTGAATTCTATTTGCCGATTGGTCATATTGAGACTGCTTAGAGGCCGAACCAGATAATGGAGCACCACTTTGAGTTTCAGTTACCATAGCCTGAAAGACGCCAGCCAATCAACCAGTAGTGTGCCGAGGAGGAGGGGGGATTGAGTTTGCCAATTTTTCCTAAGGGTCTTCTACTTTGGTATAATTTTAAGACACTGAACTGTTCGGAACTTACGCTTACGGAAGGTTCCGAGCGGATGATGCTATTTACTCCCAAGATACTCTGAAAGCGGACGGGATACTCCCAGGATACTCCGTTTTAGCTAGCCAACCTCAAAAATTTTCTAAAGGCGCCAAAATAACTATATTTGAGGGATGAACGCGCGCGCCCGAAAAACGCAAAATAAATCATTTTTCTTGTAGCCTGTTGTTATAGCCTGACATTTCTAGTCGGTTGTTTTCTGAAATTTGCCGGCGACGCAAAAATTTTTAGACTAAATTGTCCTTATAGTATTTTCGGAGAGCTCGGAAAATCAAATCGGTCTACCTACAAACAAGGTTGACAAAAATTTTCAAAAAACCGCCCCCCTATAAAAGTTTCTGCGCCCGCCACTGCAAAAAACCCTGCACAATCACTACACTGCGAAGAAATACCTTTAACTCTTTTAGACCCGACCCAAAAAAAAAGAACCAGTAATCCATCCACTGATTATAAAACATGACCTCGTCGATACTCTAGGGGGGAAAATGAGTGTTGTGCGTGTATGTATGCGTGTGTGCGGGGGGGGGGGGGGTTGAGTAAAAAAAACTACTCATGCATGACTGCAATGATTCTCACATCCTCTATAGAAGCGATCGTTTCCTCTAGTTTAGCTTTCGCTTCTTTCAGTTTAGCGTTTTCTTCCAGCAGAGCAACATAAACAACATCATTATCTGCTTTTCTCGATTCAGTGGACAATTTAGTTTTCGGCTTTGTATGATTTGCGTCTGCTTTGTTAGAAGCCACTTCTAACTTGAGTTCCAGAATTTCCTTGTCCTAAAAACAAATCCGGTGACATAGCCAGTTAAAATTTTCAGATTTGCTAAAATTTGGCGAGTACGCCGAACAAGCAAGTCAAACCTTTTCTTTATTTACAGTTCCAAGTCGTGTGATCTCAGCCTTCAAATCGACAAACTGCTCTTTCAACTTCTCGTTATTCGACTTGACCAGCGCCAATTGAGCCGAAGGTTGAAGCTGCAACTCCTGAGTGGCTCTGCTCTCAAGTTTTAGTTTCTTTGATTCATCTTTGAGAGCTTCATTTTCAGCTTGAAGTTTTTCGGTCTTCTGAACAAGAAGGTCGATGTCACCAGAACCAGCAGTCTAAAACACGTGAAATCAAAAATCTTGGAGAGAACATGCATGAAAAAAATGAGAATTTCAGTCAAGATATGAAATGTCAAGTGATTTGATAACAACAAACAACGTAAAGTATATTTCCGAAAGTTCAAAAAAAAACTGACCAATTCGGCAAGTTTGACATTGGTCTCTCTGAGCGCCTCCTTGGCTATCTTCAGCTCTGCCTTCAGCTGAGCATTGTCAACAACCAGATCAGCTGAGGATTGAGAAACAACTGCGTCATCTGCTGTTACAATTGGGACCGGTGCACCATCCGACTAAAACTCAACAAGCTATTGAATTTTCACACAGAGGCGACTTCGCGATCACAAGCGATAAAACAGCACAAAGTCGTTCCAAAAAAGGAAAACAAAGAAATAAGGAAAGAAAAGATAAAACACGTTTTGAAAAAAAAACTTTCCTTCTCCCGGAACCGAACGAACGACGCAGAGATTACGAACTAACGTCCAACACAGGAATTTCAAAAAGTCTATAAAATTTGAAAAAAAAACTGATTAAACTTGAAGCTCTTTTTATTTTTAAAAGTATTTCTGATTTCATGCAAAATATTCAAAGTTTGCCAGAGATATGATAAGAAAAAAGTACTTAATGGCCAGAAGACTCACTGATTTCTGTATCTGCTCCCTTAGTTTCCTATTCTCTCTTCGCAGCTGATTGCTGTTCTCCAGGAACCGCAGAGGGTCCGAATCCAACTCCTCCTGAGAGCTCAACACTTGTTTCTACAATAGAATTGAGCAACAGTTATAGAATTTACTTATTAGAAATAATTGAGAAAATTCATTAAATTTAAACTTCGCGTTTGAATATAATTTGGTGAGCTTCATGCAAAAAGAAATCGAGAAAATTGACCGCAGCATTTCGAAATCTTTCTAAAACTTCAAGCGGAAAGATTGTCTAAGGCTAAAAGCTATTTTCAGTTGTGACAAAACGTGTAAGCAGGGGCTTAGGCTGAAAAGTACAGTCGACATTGATAATGCTGACAATGAACACGCAGGCAACAATTGAGGTACTTTTTTTCAAAAGCATTTAATTAGTTGCAAAATTTGTTAAACGCACAAAGTTTTTAAGATTCTTCAACTCTCGGTCCATCTTTTTGTTCTGTACTCTCAGTTCCTCATTGTCTTTTATTAGTAGCTTCAACTCATCTACAACTGAGAACTGGGGATCCACAGGGACCTCAACTGAGGAAGATTCTCCGAGTTCTGTCAATTTATCACCCTAAAACGCAGAAAAAAGCTCAGTTAAAAAATTGATTGACAATTTTTTGTTGGTGGCTAACGTGAGACTTGTTGAGTTAAAGATAGGACAGTTGTATCTTTCAGGTATAGTTTCTTGTTTCCGTAACCACGAATAAATAATTTTTAATACTTTAAAAAGTTTTATAGTAGAAAACGAAAAGAAACAAAAATGAAATACAGCTAAACTATCATTTAATACTTCAATTGCTGAATTTTTTCTCTTAAATGACATTAAATGCAAAAAAACTCAAAAATTAACCGGAAAATATCTGATTTGATTACGATTTGAATTGTTAATATATTTAGTAATCACAATCCCATAGTCAATAAAAAATACATATCGATTCCTCACCATCTTTTTGATGGCATCATTCATGGCTTCCTTCTCTGCTTTGAGGCTGAAGTTGCATGTCTCGAACTGGACCACTTGATCTTGTAGGTCCTCAATGATGTCCCCAGAGTTGGTGTCTGCCGCTATCTCGTCCAGCATCAACTGACTCTCCTCGTACGCCTTCAGCAGTTCGTCCTATCAAGAAGTCAAGGAAGTTCACACAATGAAGAAGATAAGACGTGTTATGCAATTAACAATAGCGCCATAACTGAAAAATACCCTCCTCGATGTTAAATGCTAAAAAATATCTCTCAAATTCTACTAGACTATTAAGAAACTTTCTGAGAGATTCTGCTGTAAATTCCTTTTCTGGATCCCATATTGTAGCTAAACGCATTATCGGTTTTTAAATTTTGAATAAATTTCTAGATTAAAATGGCAATCAGAGGATGACGAATCAGTCGCTTGAAAGAGTAAAATTTTTCAAGTATGACATTTCAATTCACTGAAAGTTTAAAGGTGAATATCAGCATTACATGCGTATAATGACCGGATCTCAACACCGTTAGAGAAAAGCGCACTGAACGAACCGCTTATTTCCAAACTTCACAGCTGTAACAGAGTCATTGGTCATATGCTCGTCTGTTTCTATAATGTTCTGCTAGATTTACAAGTAATAAATCCTGATGTTACCAAAACATCTACGGATTTGAAAATTTAAACCAAAGTCTAGCCGCAAAGATGCCGTCAACTATTCTTCCCATCCCTTGGAGGCTTTCGTCACACGGTAAAAAAGTTCGCATATGCTTAATAATCGAATTAGTCCTTTATAGGGGTGGAAATTCTTCATTAGGTACCACAGGGGAGGGGAGGTTTCCATAGGGGGCATCATAGACCACAGGGGAGAGGTGGGATTAAAAAGATTGAACTTGCCTTTTCTAGAAGATTCTCTTTGAGTTCCTCTATTTCCTCTCGTAAATTGCAGTTGGCTGTCTTCAGCAACTGACACTTTACTGTCAACTCCTCCATCTGACTAAGAAGAGGCTCAGAACTAGAGTTCTAGAACCAGAAAAAAAACAAAGTGAGACATATCAAAACAAACAGACATGAATCGAATGGATGGAACTGTGGCGCAAGTGGCGGTAAAGCTCTCTAGAATCCATATGGTAACCGGTTCTAACCTCATACGTACCCTAAAATTTGCATAGCGAGCTCTTGCAAGTCACCCATAGCTTATTTAAGATTAAACAATTACCTTCGGCTCAACGTAGCAAATTCAGAATTCAATTTCATATCTAATCTATCAGGTTTTCCGATTTGCTAGCATGATGTTTTTACTTGAAACTAACCCCTTCGAACTGCTGTTTACGCATATTCTTCAACTTCAGTGCCATATCATTGCACTCCTGTTGTAGTTGGTTGCTCTTTTCCTGCAGTCGTTCGATCTGGTTGTCTTTCTGCTCCTCGAACGTCAAGGTTGTCCTTAGATTCTAAACACAAGGTTCCAACAGGATTTTCTGTTTTCTTTCTCATCATTTCAAATTGGAATCATTCTTGCAAAGTTTGGATAATTCACTTAGATATTCTCGGATCTTGAATATCCAAAAAAACTAGACTTTAAGTATAGGATGACACAAAAAAGATGGTGTTACAAAACAGATTGTAAACATTAGAAAGGCTATCCAAAATGGGCAACTAGCGCTTACGGCATTATCAGTTTTGATAGCTCTCATCTCCTGTCTTCGTTGTCGCTCCTCCTCTCGCAGCCTCCGGTTCTCCCGAGCCAACTCGTCCAGGTGGGTCTTCAGGCTATCGCTACCCTCTGTAGTCCCTCTTGCTGTCGTGATCCGGGATGCATCAGCAGTTGGGGAGGTTGTGCGGTTCTGTGGAGACGAGCCGCTGGACTGGGACGGATGCTCTTTATTTGAAGCTCTATCTGTAGTCTTTGAGGGTTCCTGGGAAAAACCATTATTAGGGAAAGATTTCAGATCAAAAATCTACACAGAGGCGAAGCTGTGCTTCGCAAACACTTGCGAGAACACGACCAAAAGCAGCTATATCAAGTGAAATAAGTACAAAAAAGCCTCGAATTAGCAAAAACTCGGCTACGTGTAGGATTCGAATCTGCCACCTACTGCAATCAAGAGATTTAGTGTCTCACGCACTCCCCACTGATCCACGCAAGCTTAACAACCGCCAAACACTACTCACAATTAAAGCAGCTACATATGCTACAAACCTGTCAATGTGATTCAGCACGCAAAAGTGGCACCAAATACAAGTAGACTCAATTTTGCATGTAATTATTTGGAATATAAAAACTGAAGGCATCTACACTAACTTTCCATGTAACAAATCGCAAAGCAAAAAGCCACTTTATGTATAAATTATGAATTTCAAAAAATTGCGAGATATATTGAGCTAGAAATTTTCTGAAATCGAGTTTTCATTATTGTTATGTTGTTTGTAACAAATCACGTTTTTCAGTTCATTTGATGAATTAAAAATGCATCAACTGTGTTAACTTATTACTATTCGAATGACAAAGCTATCCAACAGCTGTACAAAAGCCCCACCATTATTGGGGTGCTGTACCATAAAGGTGCTGCACTAATATTTGCGACTTAGAAAAAAAGAAGGTTCGTACTAATACACTAGCTTCGCAAGTTTAAATAAAACATTGAAACAGAAATGCTAAAACTAATTCAAGAAGATCATTCTCTTTCGTGATTTGTGAATGATTTTGTACAGTTCCAAATAACAGTTTTGAACAATTTTTTTTAGGTCGATCAAGTTGATTTTCCGAGCACTCACAGAACACTATCAAGTCCCTATTATGACCAAAAATTTGCGCCGCAAGCAAGTTTTGAAAAAAAAACGTCAAATTTGCGTTTTTTTCTTTTCGCGCGCTCCCCTTCAAATATAGTATATATATTTAGAAATATAGAAAAATTTTAGGGTTGGTCACCCTAAAATGGATGTCATAAAATAATACCAAAAGGGGGGTCGAATCCCTGAGGGGGTGGGGGGATGGTTAAATCCGCCTTTGCTGCTGTTGGCAGTGTTTTCTGATGCATACTTGATATTCGTTGATCATCGTGTCAGCACTAATAATGGGCAATTCTCGCAATCTGTCTCTCAGTTTGTCGTTTTCCAACTCCAGTTTCTTTACATTATTCTCCAACTCTTTCATCCCTTTGAGATCCAAGTGCTGAAATTGAAAGATAATTCTGCATAACTTTGACTTAATCTAAGTCGCATGAAATAAGATGTGAAAAGTTTGAAAGAAATTTTGACTCGGTTACAATAGTTTACAATAAAAAAGCATTACGGCCACCATACAGTGAGAAAAATGACAATGAACGCAAGGAAACAGAAAAAAAGGCTATATGATTGAAAAACTTCAATTTAATTTTTTAAGAAAAATGTATACTCTTGAAACGCTTCAAACTTCAAAAACAATTTATGATAGACAATTTTTCGTTAAAACTAACCCACTGAATCAAGGTAATTTTTTTATTCCGCTGGAAAATTAGAAAAATAAAATCCACTTTCGAAACTAGAAGTCGATCCTGTTTTTCGTGACCTTAAAATTTTGCAATTTGATAGTAGATTTTGCCTTCCCAGAGACGAAGCTAATATATAGAACTTAAAAAGATATACGTCAAACAGCGAATAATTAAATTTGAGAGGGAACAAACTCCAAGACTTTTTTTCTGAAACAAAACTAAAAAAAAAATAATCGAAAACAATGTGTCTACACTATGTGCATTGACACTTATTCATTTGACTCAAAAATTTTGTACGATACAATATTTTATTAGCAGTATGCGGCATTCGAATCGAATGTAAAATTTTTGAGCAGGCCGAAAAGTTGCGTTAGTCCAAACTCAAAGCTAAACGAGCTATTACTAGCCGTCAGTTAACACCGAAGCGAAGCAGCACTTAAGCAATAAAACACGTCAAAAGTAAGTAAATTCTAAAAAAGTAAACACAGAGACGAGGCGGCAACTTCGCAAGACACAGCGAGAAAGCGGCAAAAGGGAGCTTCAAAATGCAAAAAAAAGCACTAACTCGTGCATGCAATAATTTTGAAAATAATAAAATAAAGGCAACCACACTAACTTTGCATAGAATAATTTGGAACGCAAAAAACCAAAATTTTCATCAATTCTACATTTGAAAAAATTCTCAATTACGTTATTTTTCAAAAAATGTTAATCGGTTTTTCAAATTAAACTGTTGTATGAAGCATATAGTTTTTTCGGTTAATTTGATAGAGTCAAAAAACATCAACTCTTTTATCTTAATAATAATCAAAATTCACAGTATATGACATTAAATTTCCAATGCTGCTGAATCTGCAAAAGTTCCATCAAAAGTAGAAAAATAATATTTGCGACTTAGGTTAGAAAAACTTGGCAGAGTACAATCACACTACGCACCGCACCAATAGCGAAACAACAAAAAACAGCACAGCATCTTGGAAAAAAGGGAAAATATCGGAATCAAAGAAATTAGAAAACAAATCTAAACATAAAATTAAACAAGGAAAGCCGGTTACCGTGCAAGTAGCACAGAATGTTCCGACCATAGTCTTTAAAAATGTACTAAAACTTTTTAAAATTAGTGTAACTTTTTCTTCGTGGTGTGATAAAAAGATCTGATATAAGTTTATAATTGAGGTATATTCCGCAGTCATAGTAATATGTGCAAACCGGACAACAGTTTTCGAAGAAAAATGAGTAGAAAAACAAAAAAAATCGAAATATTCAAAAAAAAATTGCAGAAGTTTTTCGATTAGCAAAAAGGCCCCAAAAATCTCCAAACTAATTTTGTTCGAGTAAAATTAAGTTTTGGCATAATTAGGCTATTGTAAATGGCCTAATTTAAGCATAAACAAACCTGCTCGCTGTTTTTCGTGGCTCGAAATTAGACGAAAATCAAAAATTTCAAACCGGTTTTTCTCAACACAGGAAAAATGTTTTGGAAATTTTTTAATGTGGTTCGAATCACGACTGAAATGGTTTTAATAAGATACATCAATCCACCCAGTCCGATAACTATTTGTGGTACCTGATTTTGCAACTGTGCATGGAAAAAAAGCAACTGTGCATGGAAACGTTGAGTCCAGGGGAGGCGTTAAATTTTGCTGCGGTCCGAGAGAGGGGTGAACTCATGAAAACGAGAGTTAGTTGAGGATTGCCAAGATTTGATAACAATCTACTTAACGGTAATCGAACAAATAATTCAGGTTCAAATAATTTAAGTCAACGTGGAAGTTACGTCAAACGAGAACCGGTTAATGGTGTCAACAACCAGGTGCTGGACAAATGCCATAACTGTGGAAACCCGCTGACACCAAATCACAGGAATTACTGTAAAGCAAAGAACATAATTTGTAAGAACTGTAGTTGCCGAGGTCATTTCGCGAGGTTTTGCAAAACATCAGTAAATCAAATAGACGGTACATACGAATTAACGCAGTACGAAACGAATGTTATCCGTACATTTGAACAAGAAAACGAAGAAGAAATTAGCGTTTTTGTTATCAAGACATACACGTTTTTTTTTTTTACGTTTTACCTTAAACTTGAGTTATGAAGTAGTGCACACGCTAAACACACCCGAATACAAACTGAAACACACCCGAACCAAAACACACCTGAATATAAAGTTTCTCCCATTTTCAATGGCCGTAACAAAAACAAAACTCATCAAGCAGATACTGAGCAAACAGTAATAAAAAAAGAAAGTGCAAACTAGAAAAACAGAGCTTTTGACTTATCAGGGAACCCAACCTCCGACCTGGAAAATACGATCCTCATTCCTTGCATCTGCGCAATGGTTGAAATTATACAAACACCAGCCACCAATAATGCAACTGCGGACGCTAATTAATTGTCAATTTTATGCAGTAAAAATTCTACCAATTTATTATACAGAGAGGCAAAGCTGCTCTTCGCAAATAATAGCGAGAAGACGATAAAAAACAGCTCCATAAAAAGCAAAGAGAAAAAATAGAAATAAGCCTCGAATAGCTAAAAACTCGATAAAGTTTCGACCTGCGACCTAGAGATTATGAGTCTCACGCACTAATTCGGACGATTAATAAATCACAAACACAAGTTAAAACCAAAGCAAAGAACAAGTGTTATGAAATATCCAATACCACAGATCGTGATGATAGCAAGTGCCACCGAATAAAATAACACTTTTACTGAACACTTTTTATTTACCCCTTAGATTAGAAAAAATGGAGATTCGTACTTATACACTACGCTCGCAAGCTTGCTTGTTTAAAAACTTTTGCCGCCATCGGCCAAAATCTAATCTCCTACCTTAAGATTATGCACCTCATTTACTCTCATCTGGGCCACGGTCGATATAACAAAATAAAACACAGTGGCAAAGCTGATCTTCGCATTACTTGCGTTACCACAAAAATAGCATTGCAAGCTAGCAGACACGGAAAAAAGAGCCACTAAATCCAAAAAAAAAAAAAATGTTCGAAGAAACCAAAACCAAAAAAACCTTAAAATGTTATCTGGAATGATATTCGATTTGCGGAAAACATGTCCAGAAACACATTCGACGGCGTTTAACGAAAATTCAAAAAAAAATTTGAGCAAAAATGAAATTGTTGTCATGAAAAACTTTGAACTATAAATTCTACTGTGAAATTTCTAACTTTTGGTGCAATCCAGAGGAAAGCATACAAAGTATGGTTGCCCCGAACGACACAAAATGGTTGAGAAAACCGACAAACTATAAGCCGAAATCATGTAAGCCGAAAAACTTATTAGTGGGCAAAAAAATGGACAATAAAAAGGAAAATATACGAAGTCAAGGCTAGTAGAATTACAAATTGCAGCAGTAAATGAAAACAACAAAGCAATGACAACGAAAACTGCATACAGCAAAAAAAAACCGAAGGTGTAGTAACTAAGTCGATAATACATAAGCAGACATAATAAGCCGACAATTTTTTTCAACATTTTCAGCACTTCGCATACACAAGCAAAAACAAAAATATGACCGATAACGCTACTGGGAAAAACTGAATGACTAAAACTTTGAGTCTTCAAAATTTCTTAAGGGACGCATGCCAATTATGACGCATTAGCAGTACCAGTCAATTAACAAGAAAATACCAACTAACATGCCTCAATTTATAGAGTATTCTATGGAGCAATAATAGCATGAAAAAAATAAATGTAATGAAAATAAAAAGAAATTTTGTTTTTATAATTTGAAATTTTTTGTAAAAATCATCCCCCCCACACGCCACTAATCGCGTCAAAAATGGCTAGTTAAAAAAACGAAATTTTTCTGAAGAAAAAACCACTCCGAGCATAAATATTCCGTTACTTTCGTTACGAAATTCGGAACAACAATAAAAGTCTGTGTTAATATCCTTAGCATTGGCTGCAATTAATAGCTGGTTAATGATCAAAATGGACACATTTTATCGCAACAATATTTGCGTCGCAACACTATTTGCGACTTGGGTTGGGGAAAAAAAGATAGTTCATACTATAATACAAGCATTGCTTGTGTAAACAGAAAAACAACAGGTCCTGGCAGATTCGAACCCAGGACCTTTGCTGTACCAGACGTATTCGTTGTCTCCAGACTAAGCGAGTCGGAGACGTTTAGAAGTTTGTATTCATTATGAACCAAGACACCAAGTGATTCTGTTAAACAAGTCGCAACCCAATAAAAAAAATTAAATATTATATTTCGATTTAATAACGCTGGCTAATCGCAAGCGTAATAACACTTGCCAGGAATAAAGCGACTTCAGGAGCTAAAAAATTGCCGATGCAAGTTTGCAAGTTAGGTTGGAAACAAGTAGAATACGATCCGGTTGTACAAAAAATGAGTATGTTATATATACCAGTGTCTTGTTGGTGGTGTTCAACTTTTCCATTTCGCTGGTGAGTCTCCGGTTCCTCAGTTTTAGACTCTCATTGTCTCTCACCACGTCAAAGTAGTCCTGTTCTGTGTCTAGATCAGCAGGAAGCTTCTCCCTGTCCAGAAAAATTGCGTCCACTGATGTTGAAGTATTCAATGGATTGTCCTTCTAGAAAAAACAGTAAGTTTGAGTTTTTGAGATTGTTTAAGAATACTTTGACATAGGGATGATAATACAACAAATTTTTGCCCTTAGAGATTTGGACCTTCATACTACATAGATTATTACAAGAAAGCCAGCAATAAATATCCAAGGACTAAATTTGTAATTGTTTTCTCAAAATTTGGCTGCATCGCAATAGTTTCACTTCCTTAGTTTAGGAATTGCCAAGAAAAATACTTACTTGGCCTATAAAAAAAGTCGAGAAAAATCAAAAATTTCAAAACTAAAATATCGTGCCACTCATTTTAATCCCAGCAATGCGTCTGCCACTGAGCTTGATTGTTCGTTTGCTTAACAACCATAGGGTGGTTTAATTTGAAAACAAAAATCCTATCAGAGAAAACAATAAAAAGCAAAAACGTTCACGAGACCAAATAAAAGCAACATCAAATCATGTTGCTGTTAGTAGCTGCTCACAAGCATCGATTCATCTGCAACCTCAAATCGCTTCCGTCGATTATTTTCAGTAACCCACAATCGTAATTGTGGAAATTGATTTGCTGCGTACTCTCGTCTGTCAAACGGTGAGTGTGGCAATCGCAGGTTTCACTAAGAGCAGGAAAGCCCCTTATTCCAATCCTGAGTAAAGTATCGTTCTAGGGGAGCAGTTTTGTTAAGGAGAACCGAGCGAAACTCCCGTGCCCGGTTCTAGCGGGCAATTTTCAATTAGTGCGGAGAACCGAGAAAAACTCCTAATGTGAGTTGGTTTTTGTTTCTGTGGTACCTACGAAACCCCTTCTGTCCAGATGTTATAATTGAAGCCAGTTAGCGACTGCGACAGGTTGGTGTCACAGATCGTCTATTGTTAGTGTTGTTGGTTTGGTCGGACAATTAAAAAGGTGAGGTACGTCATGAGGACTATAAAAACAGTTAGGACAGATGTTAATGGTGTCTTTATCAATTTTCGATAAATGGCTGTTGAGATGGGTGCTATATCGGCAGCTCAGTTAAGCAAGAAGGAACCTAGTACGACGAGAAAAGCGAGTTTCTTCATGTGCTACTGGAGAATAGTTGAGCCCGTTAGTTTTGCAGGGCTACTGTTTATATAGTCATTAACTTCCGTCCAGTGAATTTTTTTCGAAGCAAGCTTCTAGTCTGATGGTGAGATAAATTTATCTTCTTCGAGGTGTTTTATTTCATAGTTTTTTTTTTTCAGCGAGACTCTGTTTCATTTTTCTGGATTTATAATTTGAGTGTGTGGTATGGCAGTCAACTCTGTGTGGTTGGTGAGCTCCAATTAAGAAATGTTTGCACAGCATTTCATTGTGTTTTGACTAGCAAGATTTTGGTTTACCACTGAAGATGCTCAATGGAGCTCATTTTAGTGCAGCCAGTTGCAACTCTTAAAGCAGTATTGTGCTGAATCTAGAGGTCATTCCATCTGGTTTTGCTGAGCGAGGGCGACCAGACTGGAGCAACATAATTGAGAACACTAAGCCCAATGGCTTTACAAGTATTACAAGGTGTTTGTTTACTGCAACCCCAGTTAGTACCGAGACGTTTTTTCAGCAAGGTATTCCTCGTTTTCAGTTTGTTCATGATGTTGTTGAAGTGGTGTGTAAAAGACAAGAGATTATCAAAAGTTACGCCCAGGATTTTGGGTTTTTTGCTAGTTGGTTTTACATTCTCAATCATGACTACGTTAGTTTTGTGTCTGACCTCTTTGGTCTAAGTCGTGGAGACAGTTAATGTGGATTTGTCTGAAGAAAACTTGAGATTTCGACTTTCCATCTAGAGGTAGAGATCTTTTAAATATGGTTGGATGGTGGGTTTTAATTTTGAGAGATCAGAACATGTGGTAGTAATGGCGATGTCATCAGCATAGGTGGTAAATTTGATGTTGTTTGCTGATGGGAGAGGCATAAACGCGACAATACTCCTCTTTGAGGAACCCATTCTTCCATTGGTCGCATTTTTGCCTTTTTGTATTCTTGGATATGTTAAAAAAAATCGATGTCTTGCAACAAGATACAAGGATCCACTGTGTCGAAAGCTGCGGTAAGATCAAGAGCAACCAATGGAGTTCTGTGTGGCGGTCTTGGTTGGTTAAGACCATTTAATGTTGGTTAAAATACAGTTAAAAGCAGTGCTCGTGGATCTATTTTTCCTAAAGCCATGTTGATGATCGGCTAGTTTTATTTTATTAAATTCATTTAGTAAAAATCTTTCAATCAGCTTTGCACCTGGAGATAAGGGTGCAATCGGCCTTTAAGGTTTTGCCTCCGTTTTGTTTTTCCCGGTTCAAGGATCGGAAATATTTTTCCAGTTCTGCGGTATGATTGATGAATTTAAAGACATATTTATAAGATTTGTTAAGTTGGAAAGACCCATCTGACCAAGGTGGTGGAGACGAAATGGTGCAATATTGTCACGGATTTGAGCTTTTCTTTCCTTGCTTGCTTTGATTGCGTTTTCGACTACCTGTGGGATTAAGTGGGATGTTTCATGATTAAGTTTTTTCGTTTTCCTTAGTGTGCTGCGTTTAGCTTTAGTTGGCAATATTGGATGAGGATTGAATTGTTGATCGAACAGACTGGCGCATGTTTTGGCATTAAACCGAATTCTTAACGAAGTGTATTGGTTGGTTTGATGTATGGTCTGTGTTGTTGCCAGACAAAGATTTAACAGTCTTCCAGAGTTTGTGGCTAATACCTCGATGGTTAAGAGTGTTGACGAACTCATTCTATTTCTCACATTTGTGTCTGTTCACAACGTCATTGATCTGCTTTTTCACCTGGGAAATTTTATGATAGCTAGATTTGTTGAATTGGAGTTCGCCTTTTTGTTTGGATAATTTGACGGCTTCAGAGGTAAAGAGATTTAGCAGCCTTTGAGACAATTTTTGGTAAGTAGCTTCCGCTTGAGGCACTGTTTGGGGAGGTTTACATTTAGAGAAAGCAGATTCAGTTGATTCCTTTAAGCTTGGCCAATGTGCGTTTTCGAAATTAAGGAAAGTTCGGTTGGATGGAAGCATTGTCCCGACTTCACAATTGAGTTCATATATAATTGCTTCATGATCTGACCCTAACCAAAGACTCTGTGGTCCAATTGTTATTCGTGGCTAAGGAGGAGCTAGCTACACTGATGTCTGGTGAGCTTTGACAGGTGCTGCATAATCTGGTGGACAGAATCTCATTTACAAAAACGGAGTAGTCAATTTCTCTGGTACTACTGGTTCCTCTAACATCTTCAGTTAGGCTCGAGAACCAGAGTGAAAGGTGTGCAAAAAAATCGCCAAATATGATGGCGTCCTCCATATTTTCAAGTGAGCTGATTGATGATACGTTTTACGAAGAGCAGTTTGAGTGAGGGGGAATGTAAATTAAGATTAATTTGATGTAGGATTCATCCGACTTGATTTAAATTCCAACGCTTTCATTATGTTGGTCATTTAAATCTAATTTTAGATGTTGAAACTCTAGATTGTCTTTAATTAAGAAGGCTAAACCGCCGCCTTTCCCTTGAGATGGGTCTTTGTTTTTGTTAATTAAGGAGAAACCTGGGGGAGCATTACAGACTGAAGAGCCGCTCAGGTTGGTTTCTTGAATGGTTGAAAGATATTAGTTGAGAAGGGTTGCCACTGATCCATGAAGTACACTATTTTATCTAGCTTCGGGCGAAAGCCATTAGCGTTTAGTTGAAGCATTTTGAAGTTGGATTCTTCGTTGTTGTTTGGTTGCTAGAAAGGGGTTTTATGAGGGTTCTTGGTTGGGGCGTTTCAGGTATTCTTGGTTGGCGCGCTTTAGTTGTTCTTGGTTAAGGCGTTTTATTGATTATTGGGGTTTTAGATTGGGGAGTTTGAGATGGAGGTGGGTTGTTTTTGCAGTATGGGCAGTTTCGGCAGTAAAAGTCTCTAGACCATTCCGAGGATCTACGAAGCGATCTATGTGCTTGCGTTATTCTTAAATTACAGGTTAGGCAGGTGTACAACCCAGGCGCAGGGTTAATTTCTTTGCCGGCTTTGATTAACAGGACCTCATTGATTGTGCCAGAGGTCTTGGGAGAACCAGGTGACTGGCTTTCTCCGTTTCCAGTATAAAAACACGAGTTGATGCTGCGTTTGATGACATTTGCGGCAGAGATTGTACGATTTTTGGGCCATGCAAAATGTACAGGGCGTGGGTACCGCCACTGAGAAGCTATCTTACATCGGTATCCAACATCAAATCATCGCCTATAATAATTTTTCCGATCATTGAAAATGGGGAATTTTGTATTCGGTTGTGTTTCTAGTTTTTTTTGTTTTCCACGCAAAATCAAGTACCACAAATAATCATCTGAATGAGTTGAGTAATATATCATATTGAAGCCCTTCAAGTCGTGATTCGAATGATGTTTGAAAATTTCAAAAAATCTGCAAGTGTCGAGAAAAACCGGTTGCAAGTTTTTGATTTTCTGTGTCATTTCGAGCACGAAAAGCAACCTAGCAGGCTTACATTTTGCCTTGAAAGTTTAATTTTACTCGAATAAAGTTAGCTTTCGAGGTTTTTAGCGCCATTTTAGGAATCAAAAACTTAAAAAATTCAAAATTTTCGAACATTCTTTCTACGACTTTTTTTCGTTTTTCTAGTCATTTTTGTTTTCCATTTGGCCTATTTTACTATGACTGTCGAATTTGCATACCGTTCTAGTTTTTAGTTCATGTCCTTTTATCACAAAACACAGAAAAAAACGGCATTAATTTGAAAAAACGCTATCCTTTTTGAAAATCGCACATACCTTGGACTGGTTTGCAGTGGACAAAGGAGCGGCTGTCGTACCCTCAGTGGACAAATTGTCTCTTTGGGCCCTATTGATTACGTCCTTGAGTTTGGCAACCTCAACTTTGCTCCAGGCCAATTCTTCTCGCAGCTCCTCGACACCTGCTTGCTCCAACTCGGATCCCTTTCTTGCGATTTCTCTACCCTTCATGAGCCCATTGGAAGTTTCCTGGGAGAGATCAACAAGATATGAGTTATTTAAACGAATTTAATTTTCCAACAGCCGATGATGAATAACAATGGTTGAAAGTAAGTAATATTAAAAAAATATATCAACAGTCAGTAACTGCTGAAATTCATAGCTGAATTTCATTACCTTAGAACATCCGTTCATAAAAAACTTAACCCAACTACAGTTCTGATTTAAGTCATCCCAACTTAAGGTGTGAAAATAAAATTGCACAAAACGGTCATATTTTTTAAATAAAAATCTCATTAATCAAACTTAACGGTGTCTTACAGATTAATGCTACAGTCAACAAAAAATAATTATTCGAAAAATCAAACAAAAACATTATTTTCGCTTCGTAAAACTTTCCAAGTTTTTCACTTAATAAAAAAAGTTTACACAGGGTATCGAAAAAAACTTAAGTTCTTAACTTTACATTGTGGGATTGGGCATTGTTTGGAAAATGTGGAAAGTTGAAAAATTGACATTATGTTAGAGCCAAAAAGGTCGGTCGGTCAAAATAAAACCGGAAGAAGAAACTTACATTTATTTCACTGCAAACAAAATGGCTTTTGCGACGTTTCAAGAGCTTTGAAAAATGATTGATCTAGCTTTATACTTATCATACAGCAAAAATCGATCAATTTTGTTCAAGAAAGGACTGCGAGCACGAATCAACATCCGAAACGCAAAGTTTCGGCCATCAACAGAAAAAAAACGCACAAAAATGGTGCCAAAATTTTCGAAAAAAAACCTTTGGGAAAAACTTTTTTTTTCTTAGAGAAAACCATCGTTGAATTATACTGCAAATCCAAAGTTAACGTGAGACGACTACCTGATATGCGTTAACATCCCAATTATATCACTCCAACGGCAAAACTTGCTGGAAAAAGGGTGATGTCTTAGGGCTATATAAAATTATCTATGGAAAAAGAAATTGTATTCTTCGACAGAAACATTAATTCTGTCAAAAAAGCGAATTAATTTTAACCCGCATGATGGATGATACTTTTTTGACAAAATTTTCCAGCAAGACAATGCCCGCTTCCCTAACTTCAAGTTTTTTCAAAGTGCTTTTCAAATTCTGGAAAATTGGCCCCCACAATCTCCAGATTTGAAAATTTATGGAATTAAATCAAACAGAAGATTCGTGAAAAACACCATACAACAGTTAAAGAACTTATTCGTCAAGTTTTTGAATCATTTTTGGCCATTCCAGACGACTACAGTCATTGGTTATATTGGAGCACTCCTCATAAAACAAATGCAAATCTGAGAAAAGGGTATAAAATCAAATACTAAACTCGTTGATTTTGTTTATACCTTATTTATATTTGTTGATTAGTTCAAAAAAATTCATGTAAATGTTGAAAAAATGTAAATTAGGTGTTAATGTTAATATATTTTTTTAATTTTTACACCTTTTCTTAGTCCGGATAATTCAAATCAGCGCTGCATCGGCTTCAAATCACAGTGACGGGACATAGATAGAAACTGCAACTTTTTAATTTCAACGACTAAATGAGCGACTTTTGTCTTCACGTTTCTGTCATTATCTCAGCGCCAACTTAAGATGAAAAGTTATTTAGAGGAATTTAGCCGGGTCAAAATTTGAAAAATGTTACTTGGAAGGCGTAAAAAACCAGTATGTAGTTACAAATTTCAGTGATGTTCTTACTGTGGATAAATCCTGGCATTTAGAAGAGTGACTTAAGAAACTGCGAGTAGGAAATTAGCTCTTCAGTTGGGACCTCAATGACTAGTTAAATTATATTCTGTGAGATTAAATTAATTGTTTTTATTTTCAGACGTATTTTTCAAAAACAACTAATGACTCCCTCCCTATACCTAAAATTAAAACATACGCTGATGCTGATTTTAGCCAAAAAAGACTCTTCAACTCTGAGTTCTCGTATAAATACAGCTAGTACCACGCCACTAGTTTTGTTCTTCAGATGGAGACGTTTTTCTCCACTTTGCGCAAGAAGCTTCTTTAAATTAACCCTAGTTTCGATTTGCGATTCCACTCAAATTTTTTTTGTTTTTTTTTAACGGAAAAATTAATTACTCAATTCAGTTATAGTAAATATTCTCTCTTTTCGCAAATTAAGTTTAAGTGGTGGCTCAAACTTTTAGTGTTGAGAGCTGGAGTCCGTGCACACGTTTTCGACAACCTAGACTTCTAGATGTCTTAGACTTTGATAGAATAAAACAGTTTTTGCATGTCACTCTTCTAAAGATCTGACTTAGCGCCTGTGCCATTGATCGAAAGGGTTTATAATGAAGATCATGCAGTTCGTTTTCAGTCTTATTCTCATCAACCGGAACACCTAAATGGTTGCTTAATTGGATACCAAGAATCCGTGAACATTCCATACCAATCAGTTTTCAGCATGTTTAACTTTTATTAGCATGGTGCTATTGAAAACCACTTTGAAGACTTTTCTAGTTATACCTATTTGCTTATTTTCAACACTGTCTAAATTTTTGAGGCATTTTTGTTATTTTTTTGAAACGGCGCTACTCTAGCTGCACTAAAATGTTACAATATATATGTGAACATTTTTTCATTTTCAGAAAGCAATACCTTTGACTGGCCATTTTCCTGTTTGAAAGCATCGATTTGTTCTGACTGCCTCTTGCTCAGTTGTTTTAGAACACTAATCTCCTGTTTCAGTCTTTCCAGAGACTCCTTTGCAGGAACGACGCCATCTTGAACTCCTTTCGGATCCTACATGATAGGTATAATATCAAAAGATATACTTTTTAAGCTCCGCATAAAATAACTTGATCAAGACACTTGCTCTCATAAGTGAAACTAAAACGTTACCTCTTGGTTCGCTTCTGAGTTGCTTAGTCTATTCAAATCTGCCTTGAGAGTGTTCAGCTCAACTTGGTTCTCTATCGTTATATTGTCTGCATGGTTGCGACTCTCTTGTAAGCTATCCTCCAACTGAAAATTAAAATAATATCAAGCTAGTATTTACCTCAATCTTGCAGCATTTTCAATAACTGTGCAAACAACTTTTCTCCGTAGGACTATTGCGCTTATACAATTAACCAATATATTGGTACATGATTGGGAAAAGATTTGTGAACAGTATTTAGGGAGCCGTCGGCGCGGATGTTCTCTCTACCTCAGAAACTATACCCGTTCACCAGTCCTTTGGTACAAGTTTAAGACACATTTTGGCTGACCGACCCTTGACTTTTTCTTAGATTGCCTTTGGCAGAAATCGACAAAGCGCGCGCCAAAAAATTCGGTTCTTTGGCGAAAACCTTCCATAAATGAAAATACTGCAATCACTCATGTATATGCTAAAGTAGTAATTCTTTTGATTTCTAATGCAATAGCCATGGTGAAAAAAAACAGGCCAGTAATAACAAATAAGCAATACATAGTGCGGCTCCAAAGAAGACACAACCAAAGAAGACGCAACACAGTTAAAGTCTTCGCTTCCCTCGCCCCCCCCCCCCTATAGAGGAAAGCGCACATTCAAGAGGTTGCAAGCATCCCTGGGGAACCCCAATCAGAGCTCAGTATTCAAGAATTTGAAATAAATAAGCGATAAATTCAAACAGAGTTTTGCGCAGTTTGAAGGGCGTTGATTAGTTGAAATTTCTCGCGATTTTGCTTCTTCACGCATGAGAATAGTCCCTACCGTTTGTATTCTCTGTTCCAGGGTCCTTCTTCTGTCGCGGAGTGCCTTGTTCTCGTTCCTCAGAAGAGTGACCTCGGCCTCCAGACAGTCGACGTCTGCCCGCAACTCATTCACATCCCTGTCGGAGCTAGACTTCATCTTGGACTGAAAATGTACTCATATTTACAGTATATAAAGATTGGTATTGCTTGTGGCATATATTTTAATTTTCCATGGAGAGCTGCTTAATTAATTTTCGTACAATTCTTCAAGATTTCTTCAAATTAAAATTCTTAAATTTTGTTAAATGAAACTAGGATAATGAAAGTCCATTTTTTAAAATTCCACATATTATGTAGGATTTGTACAGTTTTGGCACACATGAACGCACATAAGAAAAGTGATTCGCTCCTTAAATAATTTTCTGAACATTACAAAATGAAAATGGGGGGGGGGGGGGGTTTGATTTCAGATACTCACTGTCTCCAGTTGTTTCTTAAGCAGTTTGTTTTCCTGAGCCAACTTGTCTGCTGTTGCCTCTGCCCTCTCGGCCTCCTGTCGGAACTGCTTCACTGACTGAACTGCTGCAGTCTCATTTCCACTCCCACTTGGCAATGCCAAACTGCCAGGAATCGAAGAGGACACAATACTGTCAGAGGGTAACTGTTTCTGCGGCAGTTGAGCTTCCTGTGACAATTTGAACAATTTCAGAGGAGTTGAATACAACGGAGAGTTGCGTTTGTATACGGTTTCAACAGAGAGAAAACTTTTTAGCCGTTGTGGAAAGCATCTTAAAAAGCATCGATTTCGATTGAATTCGCCGCTAGCATAAAAAATTTTTCCTCTTCAGCGAACTATCTTGCCGTTCACACAAAATCATTTTCACGAAGAAAATCGTATCTAAGATTTTCTTTAAAGACTAGTTTTATATCAATCAGAATCAAGAATTCAGAAGTAAGTTTTACAATTCAAAACAAAAACATCAAACTCAGACACCTTTAAAAAACGACGGAACTTGATTCATACCAGGTGACTGAGTTTAACCATGACGTCTCTTTTCTCCTCTCGGAGTTTCCGGTTTGCGTCCGCCAAACTAGCATTCTCCTCCTCCAGCGACTCCAGTTCAGCAAACAGGTCAATAGAGTCCAGCTGGGCCACAATGCCCGGCTGACCACTCGCTACTCCGCCGGAAGATGATCCTCCTCTGGGTTCGCTATTCGAGGGGTTCACGTCCAGAAAAGATTTCTAGAAAAAATATATCGTCGATTAATATCAAGAAAAATCAAATATCAAAAACACTCAAATTTTGCTTTCGAATATCATAAATTCAATGGAAAAAACTTCAACATTGAGTACAACCTTCAGTAGTAGTATTATTAGAGCGATTGACAATGAAATCTATTTTTTCTCACCAATTCAGCGTTTTCGTTTTTCAATAGCCTCATTTCGGCCAGGATGTTTGAGTTTCTTTGCGGATTCTGAAACAAAAATGAATACTGACTTCTACAATAAAACGCCTGGCCAAAACTAACTTTCGGAGGAACGTTTTGCCGCTGACACAAGCACACATTAATCTAAATAAACAGGAGTGGACACTTGAAACCAAAAGGTTGTCAGGTAAGCTCACTTCGATTCCCAAATCTCTCATCCAGACTAAATATTCACAGATAGTCTCAAAAAAAGCGAGTGTACATTTTGGTGAACCTGATGTGAGGGGTGGGCAGTCGTAGTAAACAATTGCAGTTTGGTTTGGACGTAACGGTGGGATTGATTAAGCTTTAGGAAATACTTATTATGCTTTTCGTGAAGAAAGATGGGGGTTCCGTTGCTTATTATAAATATCAACGGGTCTCTGGGATGACTGACCAGTTTGTTCATGTCTCTCTTCAGCTGTCGGTTCTCCTCCTCCAGGCTCTGTTTATCTCCCTCGACCTCCTGCAAGTAAGTCTGCATGTTCAACTTGTTCCTCTCCAACTCCCCTATGCGATCCTCCAGCTGTCTGCTCTTCCTCACCACTTCTCGCAGTTGCACAGCCTCCTTCTCAAACTGGGACAGTCGATCAACCTTAACAAAATTTAAACAAGAAATAATGAAAAAGATCTGAAGAAAAAAAAGAGTTTTAAAATCTGGAGAGGGTGTTCGAATTAACCTCATGCTATTTTTAGTTGCTAGAAAAACCAAAACCAACGCACTTACATATATATTTCAGCAATTATGTATTCAGCTAATTGAATGCGAAAGTCCGGCCTGGTCAATGTGACCTTTGTTGAGGTTTTCAGCAGCCGGTTGTAGGCTTATGGGAATCTCGATGAAACTCTTCGAAGCAACGGCCCCATCGGTAGAAAAAACCCGAGCAGATAATGTGGCACGACGTTATCAACAACAGCTTGAACGGCAATCGTAGAACAATTTCAGAACGTGCTCAACTTGAATTTTTATTAGTATCATGAAAGTTTCGTCCACGACTCAAATCAAAAGTCTACATTGAAATCAGCATTCTCTCGGCAGTATGATTCCACTTCAACAAATTTTGGCAACTTGCAAAGAAGAAACGATCTGCTAAGAACAACTTTGGTAGTAAACAAAAAGACACAAGAAAAAAGAAGCTAAAGGTCGAAAAAGAAAGCAACACAAACCAGTGGTAGGCTAATTTATTTTCTGGGCTGTGCGACTCCAGAAGTTTTCTCATAAACATTTTTCGGTAGATTGCGTTACCGAACTTTGAAACTCAAAATTTTGCGATTGCAGAGATTTCTCGGAATTAGTTTGCATTAGCATATGTTATATAATAGATCGGACTTTCTCAAACCCGTTCTTTGAAACACTTGAAACTGCGAGCACTAAATGAAATGACCAGAAAAACCATAACGCACAAAAAAAATTGTTAAGAAGAGCTATTAATGAAATTCTGAAATACGAACGCAATCTAAATGGGATCACTCAACTTACTGGGCTCACTCCAGTCGCTGTAGAGGGCAACTTTGATCTAGGAAAAATTATTCTTTCTCAGCCACTCTTACGAGTCTAGCAACAAAAGAGAACCTTTATACACAACGCAGCCATGCAAGAAAAGTCTGAAAGCAAAAATAAGAACGAAGTTGATTTTCAGAAGCTAACTGTGACGGTGGAGGAACTTAAAGAACCTGTCAGAGGTCTCCTAACGCTTGTCAGAAACGAACCAAAGCAAATTTACCCATGTATTAGTCATACCAACGGTTTCATGGCCCCAAAAACTACATGACTAAGTGGTCTACGCATCTGGGGTGTACTTGAGTTAAGTGACAAAGATGCAAGTAAAAGACTAGACGACGAAAAAAACAACGATATCTTTAGCTTTCTGAAGACTGAGGGCAAGATCAGTGTGAAACGCTTAGCTAAGATCAACAAAGCGATTACAAAGCCACACACTCTTCTTGTACATTTTTCTACAGCAAACAGAAGTGACATGGCTTTATTGTCAAGTTATCTGAAAACTACAACACAAAACTGAAAACTGGAAGACGAACGTATTCAAAGCAGTTCAAAGAGTTGAAAAAAGAATAACTACCTAGCAAAAAAGCTCAACTGAAAATTCGAATAAAAGTCAAAAGTGATGGCCCTGACCCGAGATCTATCATAAAAAAACTCTTGAATTACAGCATGAAAAAGACAAAATCTGGGTAAGTTGAAACAGAACCAGGAAATAAAAACAGAATTAACAGGAACAAAAATTGACTACTTGTCAAAAATTAAGTCGAATGAACTTGAATGTACATAGTATATTAGACCTCTCAAGAACACAACCTTTAACTAACGCAGTCATAATGAGTCGAAAAGTTCTCAGTTGCATCACTGAAACCTGGTTCGTCCAGGATATAATAGCCGATGCCGTACGTCACCCTTACTACACAATCGAGAGAAATTACCGCGGTACAACGAAAAACAAATTAACAAGACATAGCATTGTTTTTCTCGCTGTTAAGCTTTGAACCCCTTATGGAAGACTAAATTATGAGCTTTCGAGTAGCTTGATAACTGAAATTCAAACTCTCAATCCATTACTGGAGCTCCTCTGCTGTCTCTAAAGCTGTCTAAAGCCAAGCACATAATTTCACACTACTAAAGAGCTTATAACTCTTCTTATCAAGTTAAACATGCTCTCTTTCAGTTTAGACTTCCCGGGGATACAAAGGCAAATATCTAAACCTGGCAAAAAAAAATGCCCAGCGGTGACAAACAAATACAAAATTACAAGGGAGGTCAAAAACATTCAGTAACTAACTATCGGTGAATAAGTCTCCTTTACTCGGCTTCGAATGTGCTCAAAAACTTTACTTTCGACAAAAATTCAGCCCATATATTTAGACAGCTTCATCAAGGTCAATTCAGATTTTGACCAAAAAAAAACTACATTAATTCAATCCCGACGAAATCTCAAACCTAATTGAGGATGAAAAAACTAAGCACATCTTCGCAACATATGCTGACTTGAGAAATCTTTCGAAAAGACAAAAATTATTTTTCTGTTCAAAAACGTATCATCATTTAGCATTGCTCGAAACACCCACAAAAAAATTAAAGTTACCAGCAAAATTGCATTCATCAAGTGCGTATAACGAACCATTTCAGCCACTACCTAAAAACTATTACTGGAGTTCCTCAAGGATCTATATTAGGCCGACTATTGCATATCTGCTTCTTCAATGATCTACCAACTTGAAGTTTTTTGGAATGCGGATGATAACAAGCTGCTTTCAACAAACCCATTAGAGTTACAAATGAATATAAATGACTTAAATACCACAAACTCTTGAAACCTGACTCTGAAAAAAAATTTGGGAATCCTGGTTTCCAAAAACGTTTATCGGAGTGCGAACTCTCAACAACGAAATTCAAAAGTCATCTGAGCATTCCAACAAAGAAAAAGAAATTTATCAAAGCCGGTATTTATGTCATCAACGCAAAATGCTTACTGAGGCTACATTACAATAGTGGATATAAATTTCCTCACGAAGATTACATCGTGAGCCTAAATTTTACAATTTGTCAGATATTTGTCTGCAATTTGGCCTCTGATCAACTCCAAAACTTTATAAATGACCACAAACTCTCGGAACCTGATTCTGAAAAAAATCTTGGAATCCTGGTTTCCGAAAACCTTTATCGGAGTGCCAATTCTCAACAACAAGCCTACTGTGGCTACACTTTCAATGATATCATACCGGTCTGAGGTCTGAAGACCACACAAAACAGAGCTCAAAGCAATCGAAGACGAAAAAATAAACAAGTAGATAGATCCTCATTTTTTCAACCATTTATAAACAAACAGTCATAAACTCACGATCTCCTATACACGAGACAAAATTGCGAGCGATAACAACGACTGCAACAACGACAAAAAACATTCCTGATTCCCAAATTAAAACGAAACAAAACCAGAAACAAATTTTTGCATATAGTGCTATTTCTCTTCAAAAATCTCGCAGCAGATCTTGGAGTTGACCTGGCACTTTTGGACTACCAAAAGTTTAAAAGAAAACTACCAAAAGTTTTAAAAGTATATCTCACGGAGATATACTAGAAGTTCTTCACCAATAGTTCGCTGAGACAGATCCTTGTACTTGGCGAATCAATTGTGCTAGCAACTGCTCAAGAAACTCAAAAACTTGGATATCAGTTTAAACTGTTTTAAACTGGGGACTCTAACGCCCTAGGACCATGTCCAAAATCATGCACACAAAACACAACTAAAAATATTTTCAAAAAAATACCTCTTCCTTCAGTCGAAGAAGACTTCCACCACCTGCAGCAGCGGTTCGAGGCTGGCTAGAAGCGGCTGAGTACGACGCAGGAGTGAGCAGTCTGCTGCGTGACGTAGCTGGTGTCCCAGAAGCGATGCGATCAGCCGATGACGACAATTTAGTCCTTCTCGGTTTGATGCCAGCTAAAAAATATATAGCTCTCAAAAACAACCGCAAACAAACAAAAACAAATGTGTTTTGATCTAATCGCCTTCTAGGAATTTAATGTAAATATAATATATATTTAAATTTACTGCAACAAAGATAGGCCAAAATTGCCTCAAAGTGTTTCAAACACATGTTTCGGTTCATCTTTTCTCAAACCTGATTATCTCAAAAATGTACGATATTAAGAATTTTTTCCCCATTGTAGCCCCTCAGCAATTTATAGCCCCATAATAGTAAAATCACAGTGTGGGGGCGATACGTTTTTGCTACAAGGCTAATGGGGCTATAATGTGAAATGGGTAATATTTTTAATGATGTCAAGAATTGGTGGCTGTACCATTTAGCCGAGCTGCATATTATAAGCAAGGCATCGAGGGTATAATTAACAATAGAAACAAACTACTTACTGGATTTGGAATGCTCTGACTTTGATTCTGAGTTGGGAGGCGGCAGCTTGGAGGAGTAGTCTTTCCGGATGAGAGTTTTCAGCTCCGGCTCAATCACCACCCTCCTTTCCGTGTCTTGAAAGATTCAAATATTAATCTATCAATTAGCAAACAACGTTTGGCCTCAAAAATTATCTATGTCGATATACAGTTTGAACGAGGTTAACTTAAGATTCAACTGCTATATAAGTCCTTAGAATCAGCCCACCATGATCCGTGCTCGTTCCTTGAGGGTGGAGCATTATTACCCAGCCCAGAAAAACAACCAAAAAATAGCATGTAGTTCTTAAGCACGGGCACAACAGCGGTTTGCCGTGATGAACTGTACAGCTCTTGAGTTGGTCCTTTCGCCCGTGGATAAATGATCTTAATCTTAATCTTAATCAAACATATGAAAATTCCAGTCTTTTTTCGAAAATAATCTTGAGTTTTCCAGATGTCAACTTTTACTGTATTAAGACCAGCAGATGAAAAGCATCCCCATTTTAACAGCGTCGGTGTTCGAAACTGGAAAATTCTCTCGTTGAAAGTCACAAACGAGACGCAATATGAGAAATAACAGACAACATATCGTACCTTTTCCTGAGGCGGAAGTTTCTGTTGATGCTCCAGCTGGAGTAGCTTCTTCATTAGCCGCATCGTCATTATCGGCCACTTCGCTAGTCGACGGCTCCGCTCCTTTCTCCCCATCCTGAGCGATGACCGACAATTTTTGTTGCTGAAACAATTATACTTCTAAAAAAAAAAGAATATTTTCCTCTTTTTTACGCATTATATATTTTTTCTGAACCTTCAAAAATTAGTTGCTAATTAATAACAAATTATGAACCAGTAGCTATTTTTCTACAAGAATTTTAGGTACCTCAAGGATCCCCACAGCGGCTGAAAATTATATCCTTCTATGAACATTTAGAAAAGGAAACTTATTGCGGTTTCTGCGATTCGCAAAGGATCTACGAAAGGCTGTCAGGCCTGTCTAAACAAAGGTCGTTTGAATTATTCACACCGTCCGTCCATTTGACCACCATAAAGGATCTCTCAAAATTGTTTGCAATAGAGTAGCTATGTACCATTTTGGTGATATCTGTCACAAGCTCCGTTATTTGCGCATTCAACGCGTCGATCTCCGCAGCCTGATCTGCGATTACAGCCTCTGCTTCTGCTTCTGCTTCTGCTTCCGTCACCCCCTCGCTCGGTGGGGGGCTGCTGCGACTCCTATTTGCACTCGGCTTTCGGTTCCGAACTAGTCTGTTGTTGCGGTAGGACGAAGAACCTCCCCCGATAGACCTAGGTATGACGTTGTTGTTGTCGCCCAGGCTGCTTGTTCTCTCGGAGCTGGGTGATTGGGCACGAACTGCGGTGTCAGTTCGAGCCGGGGTAAGCTTGCGGGTCAATTGCTTTTCCTGAAAAAGTACAGAACACGTTTAATAATTGATGTACAGAACACGTTTCATAATTAGATGGCATTTGAGTCGAAACCACTGGAAAATATAATGGAACTGGTCTACACAAATAGTTTAGCCTATCTAAACTATGAAAGGCTTTGATGCAGTCGGTCCACTAACTGCGCAAGCCAAAAAATATGGTTAAAAGAATTAAGAACACAGAAAACGGCGTTAAGCATTCGTGATGAGAGGTCCAGATTCGTTGTTATTGACGTTAAAGTTAATTGCATACAAATAGGGGACCATCACAATTGTGCTCAAAATGATTCTCAATTTTAACTTACTCTCTTCTCGGAGTCGTCTCTAATCTTAGTGTTCTCTTTCCTTAGTTTGTCAATTTCTCTCTTCAGAAGCAGGATTTCCTGGTGC